GAACTTTTCTTGATGTAGGAGCATCAACCAGAAACTGTGGACACTGAAATCCACAACTTCTAGGCTGACTAAACATTTATGAGGCTTTCCCTAACCAAATGGCCACATGAAGCAAGACGAAAGACAAGATGGATCAAGATGGCTGCATTGCTTACGGCAGCCCGCCTGGCAAATGACTGCTGACTTCTTTGCCACCTCTGCGAACTGTATTGTGCACTCCGACTGTCAAGTGGTGCCAAACCCTACAATCAAAATCACACCCATGACATCATCTATATCAAGATATACAGGGCCCACCCAAACGATGGATGTATAGCTTCCACATACGAGACGAGAGTTTGTGAAATTACTCGTCTTGCGATTTTTCGAACTTAGATAGACAATAACATTATGATGGGAGCTCGCATGTACGAACTGACAAAATATTGATTTAGTGAAGTGATGGGCAAACCCATTGCCCATCCTGTAGTTGTTCACAATGCAGGGCTCAAGGCCGCGGTCAACCTTTCCTTACTGCTGCGTCTCTGGGGTCCCCAATCACAACCGCTAATGATTTGGAAGATATTAGCTATCTTCGATAGAACGACGACGAAGGAGTCTACAAAAGCTGCAGCTCTGTTTTGCCAAAACTTCTACCTATTGCCCAGAATTCCGACTCTTCATTTAATGAGTTCTGGATTTTGTGCACCGTCTTGCGCACAGTTGCACAGTCTTCTTCATCACTCCCCTCTACTTGAAGTTAAACTTGCAGGTGATGTTACCCGCCGTCGTGCACCGAAATAGTCCCAACGAGAATTTCCCGTTGAATTTGCCTTGCGAATTAATGTGCATCCCAATCTGGGATGGACCAAACCGCGCTGCACATGACAAGGCTTGCACCTACCAATGCAAAGCATTGCTGCCATCACCTGGGCGTCTGATACTTCTTGTGGCATGCGCATGAGCAATCAGATCTCACAGACAGAAACATGTTCTGTGCCTTCGGTAAAACGCCTGAGATAGAATGACATGCAGCACGTTGGCTGTTCTGGGCTTCGCGCTCGCAGCTTGCATTCTTCATGCTTGGCATTCGTGGAAGTCTCAGCGCCTAGGGAAGGTGTGACTCGTCTTTTGTGGTAGCTGGAGGTGCAATTCACATGCGGGGGCCTCCTCCAGCATCTTGACCATGTCTGGTGAGCCCTGGCCAGCCAAGACACTTCGTCAGCCATGCTCCCAGTATTAATGCAATCCAAAAACCAACCGCGCAGTGCCCAGTCATATCCACACCAGATTGATAACATTCGTCGGGACGGTTTACGCCTTGCTCTGGAAAATTGTTCAATATCTTTGAGCCGTCTAGCGGCCTCCTGCAGGATGTGTAGAATCAGATGGCTGAGGCCCTGTTCACCTTGATGCAAGCATGCTCACCATATTTGCTCGCCAACAGTGTGGATGACTCAGAATTATGCGCACATGGATCTTTTCGACCCAGCGCTTCACGCGATGCATACAGCCTGGGGCAGTGCAGCACCCTGCTGGCGGTCTCGCCCAAGTACTTACAGTAGTTATCAGAGCCCCAGCTTCAAGACCAGCGTGACGATGCATTCACCCCGCAGCCGTGCCTAATTGGTCTTGTAGAACTAATCCTTCCATGCACGCGGGGAGTGGATTCTGGATGAAGAATGCAGGGAGTGTGAGACGCCTTGCTCCTTTTGGAACTTGTCTAGCGATGACGAGAGCCATCGGTCCATTGCCTGCCACGGCGCACGCATGTTGGTCTGCCTGACTTAGCTTGGTCAGCAGCTGATGAACGTTGCAGCGTGTGCCGCAGGACATGCTTGGACCCCATTTCAATCTGCTATCTGTTCTCCTTTAGAAGCGCGGCGCGGAAGCGCGCGGCAAACTTTAGTGATCTTGTGATGTGGGGTATCCATGCGCGCAGAAGGCCAAACATGGCCTAACAGTCTTCCATTCCTCATGTTTAATTTCCCGACCCCAGCACCTGGGTTACCAAGACCTGAGCCCATGGCGTGCTCGAAAAGCCTCATACCCGCTCAGCGACCCCTTCGACCGTCAGAACCCCAAAGCCGTCCATAAACCAGAAGCAATGCGCTAGAAGGAGCGTGTTACGCGACCATGCTTTTCCTCTCTGGTCTGATGCCATGTAAGCAGGTCAGGAACCCATGTGCTTGCACATGTGCAAACTGTGCCTGACGGGTCGCCGTGATCCAATCCTGTAGCTCCGCATGCATTTGCTGGAGCCTGAGCAATGCAGGGAGCACTGCCAAGCTGAGCAAATTCAACGTCGTGGGTTGAGGAGGCGATTTCATAACAATGTTCGATGACATGCATAAAGCGATTTGGGCCCCCGGCTCGGCTCTGCTTACTTGCATGGACATCTTTTGCTGAAGCTCAGTGGCAACCTGAAAGCCCAAGCACTGAGGTTACTGCATCCATATCTTGCTGCCAGAAAAAGCAAGCCCTGCCTCACATGTGCCGCTCTGGCTGCGCTGCATGGACTCCTGGCTGACAAGCTTGAGGGAGCACTGGCAGCCTGCAGCAAATGAGCAAAGCGATGCGGCCCAGCAGCGATTTCGCCCTGTAGCTGGCTGATGCAGCCAGCGATACTGTGCCTTCGCATGGCCACTCTGCAACGAGCTCTAGCAGCCGCCTTTAGAAAACTTATCTCCAGGCCTCAGACTCTCCATGTCAGCATTTAATTGGTCTGCTTTGTCCTGATGCTTGCGCATGTGTATCCGGAACAGCTTGTCGCGAACACAGCGTCCTCCAGTATTCCGGCACGCTTGGTAGCACACTTTATGTCAGCATCCCACATGAAGGCTTGGTCCTCCGGCTTTCCAGTCAAACGGTGCTAAGTCTGCTCGCACAGCCATGATGCATGTGGCATGAATGGCGCAGCATGGCGCAGCATGGCGCAGCGGTCCAGCAGGCTGGTATTCTGCTGCAGTAAGTTCTCAAGTATCTCGTCGTACCTGCAGTGGGTCTCCAGGTCTCCAGCCAACCCCATGGCTCATGACATGGCTCGCATGGCTCGCCTGCTGTTCTGCACATCTTGCCTATCCAATCGATCCTTCAGAGTTGTCTGCGCCTCAACCCGGCTACTTTCCCGCACATTTTCCGGTTGCATCGCTGGGCCCAGCCTTGGCCTGCTGTTCTCCGATTTGCATGGCCTTCTTCATCTCCAAACCTGTTTCAATACACGGTACTGCAGGCATGGCAACTTTCCCGGACCTTTTGTGAGGCTTCCAGTATTTGAAAGAGTTTGCCATTGGCAACTGCTCGCCAGACAGGTGGTTAACACTCGAAACGCTTTCACAGCAAAGGCTGTTACCGTGACCGGGTTTGGAAGTCGTATAAGGCTTCGGCAGGTCTTGTTGAGACTCTCAGAAGCATTCTCCTGGACGCAGGACATGCTTTTGACCTGGCCGTTTTCAGGTTGGGTCGGATGCTTGCAACCTCTGGCAACAGATGAGCAGCGCCTCTGCATCCAAATCGTGGAGAGCTGACCTGCAGCGCTGGCACTTTTAGGGGGCGCCACTGCACATCTTCCGGTCTGAGACGCAGGCATGCAAGAGTCCAGTTTCTGTTTACTGTCGCTTTGCATGCTTTCGAGCTTGTCACCAAGCCTTCGGCAAGTGAGTCTCAGGGAGGTGAGCTGCTCGCCACGAGTCTGTGCCCCCTGCTGTGTAATGTGCAATTCTTGAGCTTTGACTAGGCCTTCCAGGCCAGTGGTCGCCTTGGTGGGTTATGAGTTGTTTGAGCAAAACAGTGGAAACCATCAGAATGTTCTGCACTCAAATCTTCGAATGCAGGCTCGTTTCAATGGCTTGCGCTTGCGTCTCTTCCTGAAGCGCTTCAACAGCCAAACCTCGGCGCGAATCTCAGCACTAGATTCACAGAACAACTCGAGACCTGAGGATACCACCACGCTCCTTGAGGCCCTTCGACAAGTGAAGCACTTCTTTATGTTTCAAATGTGCCTACAGGGCTGAAAACAAGTACGATACGCGAGAGCTTGGAGCGCAAAGCCAAAGAGAATCAAACATGCTGCGTTCATCTGCGTTCAGCCTCAGCCCTTCTGCTATGTTTTTAGTCGGGCAAATTCTGCCTGGCTCTCCAAACCCTCAACTGCTGCCCAGATCTTCTGCACTTGGTCCTCCTGCAAGCTGACAGAAATCAAACAATGGATGTTTTCAAATCCATGTATCTCAAGTTCGGCGTTAGAATTCCTGCAGGGCCGTTTTTGCAGCAAGTGACAAGCGCTGCTCATCCAAGCTGACCAGGTGAGCCTGGCTTTGAACAAGCTTTTCAAGGATTTGGCTGTGATGGCTGCGGTTGACTCAACTTCATTGCAGCAACATAGAACTGCTCACATGGAAGCTGTCAAATCAAAAGCTTCACGGTTAGTAGGCGAGCAGCGTTGTGATCCTCTAGGCATTCCTGCATAGTGGAGAGCTCAGCCTCATTTGTGGACACCTGCACGGGCGCACTTTGTGTTTTAAAGCAGCTGATCTTCCACGACTATGCGGGTTCAATGTTGCCATGGCGCATCTCGCTCAAGCTTTTCTACCTTCTTGCCCAAGACAATATCCACGCTCGAGATCTGCGATTCGAACAAACCTTAGCCGCACAACTAAGGCACATACTGAGAGCCGAAAGAACGACAGTGCGCAGACCCATAAGCTCGAAGAGACAAAACATGCCAAGAAACTGAGTTGGTTCTCCAGCTTGCTAAGGGAAGCTTCCTGCATCCCGAGGCGGAGCTGCATAGTTTCCATCTGCTCCGAGTCAACGCGCAACGCCTTAAAAAACACACTGCTTGAATTTGAATGCCTTTTTAGTATACCTGTCATTGTGGAGCTTTCGAAGCTTAGGACAGCTCGTTAACTTCTGTACGCACTTTGTCCGCGTGGTTGGCCAGCTGCTGGTCAATTCTGTTGATCTTCCTACATGTGTCCTCTGACTGTTGCGACACTGCTTCCATCCTGGCTTCTGATGCTATAGCTCCGGTCTTGCACGCAGCCACGCAGGCTTGAACTTCTTGGAGCTGTGTGCCAAAGATGAGCATCTGCTCTTTGTGCTGCCTCTGCGCCAAGGAAAGCTCACTCGTCTGGCTTCGCACGCTTGTAAGGAGATCCTCTTGATAACTGATACGCTTCGCGGCGCCATCCTCTGCTTCCTGAGTCATCAGCGTCCCAGGGCATGCCGTAGTGAAGCCACACCCAACATGTCACGACACTTGAAATGCAAGTTTTCCAGGCCTTAGCAGCCACCAATTCCGCAGTCAAATGCCGAAATTGTTTTTCCAACTGTTTGAAATCATCGGCCTACGAGGCCAGCCAAAAGAAATAGTCAAAATCTGCGCCAGGAATGATGCCAAGACTGCCCTGCCTGCTTGTCAACGGACGTCTGCAACACTCCGAGCTCTTTTATGGCTTCTGTGCTGCGCCTCTCTGCAGACTGGCTTGATGAGAGGCCTGAGTCTGGGTGTTGCGGACGCTTCTGCAAAAACTTGCTTCCACAGAATGACTTGCAAAGGTGCCTTGCTGAAGGTCTGCTTCATTTGCCACTGCGCGGTCCTGCAACTCGAGCATCTTTTGGTTGCAAGCTTCGACCTGCTCTGCATTCCTGACAGCTTGGGTCGCAGGGTAGCCAGGGGTCTAGGTGATCTGATGTGATTGCGCAGTCAGCCTATCCTAATTGATGCTTTTAATCTCTGAAGGGCAGAGATGCGTGGCTTTCACTGGGATCAATGCGAGCACATGGAATTTCCCGTTGCAACAGGAGCTGGTGCAAATGCCCTGTTTCGACTTTTGCGCGACTGGCCTTGTCAAATTGCTCTCAAAGGTCTCAAGTCGCAATCGCCATTTCCGTTCTTCGGCCACAGCGCGCGCCTAGGCTCTAGAAAGCTTGCGTTGATAACACATGCTGCTTGCAGGATGTGCCTCCATGACTCGCTCCGATGATGTGGAGCAGCGGGCGTCGGTGGTCGCGTTAGGTGCATCGTCCAGTCTGGGAGCAGCAAGAAGACAAGAGTTTCAGGCTCAAATCCTTCGTGTGAGAGCACGCGCCTTCTGACAATTCGCCCTTGCTCAAGCAAGTCTTTCCTCAGCTTGTCCAACTCGCTGCTTTCCTTGCGGGCACAAACATGGAGCAGGCACGGGAGGATCAGCTGCAGTGCCAGCCTGCAATCTCTGCAGCACTTGCCCCTGCTCCTCCACACGTCTGTGCAACTCCCTGACCTGCGGATGCATGCATGGAATCATATGGAATCCATTATGTGGCTTTGCTGCCAGCAGCTGCCTCGTTCTGGTCTTGTGGCTGCTCTGCGTGTACCTGTCATCGTAAGTAATGACTATCCACCACAATCTACTGCTGTCTTGTTGCAGCAGCCGCTCCTCTTCCAGGGTACGTCGTGCAAAGGCAATTTCCTGCTAAGCTCGTGGAATCATTAGGAGCTGCATCTGCAAGTCCGTCCCCACTGCAACCTTCAACCTGGGTTGGGTCCTGAGAAAGCCACGAACGCATTTGATCCATTGCCTCCTGCACAAGGAGCTCCACATCTGCCTCCAGCAAGAAGCTTTGGGGCTTGCCTGTTCTTTGGCTTGGAAAGAGACAAGACAAAGGCTTTGTGGCGCCTGCAGCTCTGACCTCACGACATCCGCCTTGCAGCGTCATGCATTCAGGTGCCGTGGCTGACGATAACTTTGGCACAGGTGCTCACAATAAACCAGCCAGCTGCAGCAGCCTTTTTTTGACTTAAACTGCCAAGCGCATCTCCCAAGCCTTCGGGGACGTGCATGGAGTTGCAACCTCAAGCTGTGCTGGCATTGAGTCGCAGTGGAATCCGGTGAAATGAGGTCTGCCTCCCGGAGTTGGGCCAGATGCGAATCCCAGTCCTGGATGCCCCAGGTGGATTTCAGGATGTTCCAAGCTACAAACCAAGCCTCCACGTTCCAAGCATCAGCTTCTTCTGCCTGCTTGGCTTACCGCCACGGTTGCTCTTGCAGTCTTTCTACTGCCGGGCACCTTTGCCAAGCTTGGTGGTCCATCCGGTGCATGGCAACTGGAAGGAGCCTCGCAGTACATCTGAGACAGCATATCATGTGGATTGCAGCGCACAGTGCGTGGCGTCCCTTGTTTACAGTTCTCGTCCAAGAGCCAAGCAGTTGAAGCATCGTATGTTGTGCCTTTGCGGGAGGAGCACGGCGACCTCCACAGTGCATTCAATGCTATTCGCTTTTCGACCTGCCTGCAGGCCGGGTGCCCCTTGGAAAGAACCCCCTCAAAGAAGCACTTAGCTTGTAGAAGGCCTGTCATGCCACGGCATTTGGTCTCCTTAGACAGCGGGCGTGTCTGGAGGCGGGATGCAGCTTGAGAGGCCTAAACCTAAACTCTTTCACAGGCGTTGGAAGCAGCCATGAATTACTTCCTATCAAGCTCTGATTGTGCCGGGCCCTCCCTTCCACTTTCTACAACCAAGGGCCCAGCCATCCACATCCAGCGCACGCACAGCAGAGGAGATGTGACCTATGTCATCCTCGGAATCGTAGCCGATGTCATACACCTGCAGCACATGCTTCACTAGACATTGCAAGAGCGCAGCTTCAAAACGAAAGCTCTTGTGCCGATCATGTCTTGTTAAATCTTTCTTGTGCAGCGGCCTCCGTTGGGGAGGAAGACTGCGTCCATCCCTGGCCCGATCTTTCAGATATGTTCGAGTTACCTTGCGACAGCAGCACAAATAAAGCATCTTCACATTCAGTGCTGCCAATTTCTAATGCGCCTTCTGGGCTTTTCTGGGGCTCCTCGCTACGACGTGCTGGGGTTTCCTGGGCTGGTTGAATGAAAGTCAGCAAAGATGCAACGGCAGCAATTTTGCTTGCGTGGAGTTTGCCGTTAAAGCGTGCGTAGACTTGAGCCATCTGGAAATTGTAATGCTGCTGACTCTCTACCGTTTGCCAAGTACGGGGGTTGCTGACCAGAGACGACTGACTCCAAGGGAACAACTAATCAATTACGTTTTGGGACGGCAAGCTGTTTGATCAGCGTGATAGGTCCAAATCAGGAAAGCATCTGAGGAAGTCCCATGTCGGACATCCTCGTCAAGGGTGTCTGGGCTTCTGTTTGCCACAAATAGCAGGGTTGTGGTACCGCGCTTCTCTCGAGGGCGCCCAATTGATCCGTCTGAAGCGACGCACTAAGCCTTGTGATCTTCAGAAGGCATGTTCCAATCAAAGTTTGCGACGCCGTCCTGCAGGTTTTGTTAATGCGATCTGGACGCGGTGCCCATCCTTCCATGCCCGAACCATGCGATCCAGGCATGGCCGGCCCCATGCTATAATTGGTTGGCCACTGAACGAGCAGACGTGCGGACTCAAGAAACATTTTACGGGGCATTTCAAGGATGGCAAGGACAGAGGGCAGGATACCATTTGTCGCACGTCCTGGCTGCAACCGCAGATAGGGAGCTGGTCCGCAGCACACGCCGCAAGACTTGCCCCTAAACGCAATAGGCAGACAGAACAGATTTGAAACCTTTTGAAGCCCTTGGTTTGAGTCTCAATCTCATTTCGAGGTCAGGCTGTCTGATTTCCTTGCGGCTGCTCTCTTTGTCAACTCCTTCGGAATGTTCTTGCAGAAGCCGTGGTCTGAGACGGAGCCCTGTGGCCTAGAGCCTCGGGTTTGGGGCGCCTTTTGCTGTAGAATGCTGTAGGCAAAATCAAATGATCTTGAAGCTTCGGGCTTGGCTAGGAAGCAGGACAGGCGAGCATACTGCTTTAGGTAGTTGGTGAAGGGCGATGGCTCAGAATCAGCTTGGACCTCCTAATCAGAACTCGAGAGTTAGCTTGAGTCTTGTTGGAGTTTCGCATTTCTTCTCCGTCGGCAGCGCAAAGCTTTGCACTTTTTAACGGCATTGTCTCCCACACAGTGCGCTGGCGATAAATTGCGCGAACACCTGCTCATAGTCGAAGTCATGCTACAGGCATTTTTTGTGATCTCATGGCAAAGCATAGGATCAATGACAGAATTAGGTTGGACACTGCTTTGCCTTGCAGGCAAACGAATTGCGTGATACTGCTTAGGCTTACATGTGAAGACTCCACGCCAAACGGTATGAAGCGCCTATCTCACCAAGCTTCCGTCTGCATGCGCCACGCGAGGGTGCGCAGAGCTGCTTTGTTATGGGAAGCTCTCTCCTGCAATGCACTGAGCCAAAATGGCTTTCAAGCGAAGACTTCCACCATGAGGACGAAGCAGGAGATGTATCAGCCAGCAAAGCAACCAGCTGCTCTGGAGGCACAGAGTTGCGGCTGCCCGTAGCGAGTCGTTTAGCAGTGGCACATGCGGACAGTGCTGGTATATGACAGGTATATCGAGACAAGATGTGCAGGAGCGGTCACTGAGCGATTTCGCCCCATTTCCACAAACCTGTTGTTCGGAATGTCTTCACCTAACTTTAGGCGAAGCATGGCTTCTGCAAGCTCTATGTACAAGTTTTTCAATCAGGCAAATGTCATGCTCCTGCATAGCCGCCACTCCCAGTGTCGAGGCTTCGCTTGGCATCGAGCGCAGCTCCTTGGTCCCAAATCCGGCCGCAAGGGTGAAACACTTCAGCGTTCTTCATCTCAGCCCCCTGCGAAGTTTATGCCGGACCCGCTCACAGTACCTCATTTCAGCATGACTGTTCTAAGTTCTAACCTGATCCACAATGGTCTTCCTCAAACTTCTGGGTGACTGTTGAATACCAATGGTAGCACGGCAGGCAATATGTAGGACTAGTATGACAATGCAACCATAATTCTGGAAACTGCCCACACGTCTCTTGCGCAAGGACATCGAGGCACTGTTTACTCCAGCTTCAGTTGTGTTGCTCGTCACTGGGCGGGGTGTTCGGTGACCACAGCTTCAACACCTGGATAGTCAAGGTCAGAAACAGCGTGTCTTTTTGCTTCCCCACGGTAGTCACCGGTAGTCTCAGGCATTTGAAAGGGGCCTTGAGCGCCGAGGCGTAAACATCAAACGCCTCGAGTTCAATTGCAGGGAGCAGTTCTTGAGGTCAAGCTAGGTGGTGGGCATGTAACAGCAGCCTCAGAGAAGTTGCCGTGCTGCAGCAGTTGATCGCCCAGCTGCTCGTACTTCACGGGACTGATTGATCCAAGGATTCGTTCTCGCAGGCTGATGCTGCTGCGGAAGAACTCCTAGGCTGCTGAAATTCTGCAAGTGTCCTACGACAGACCACCGCAGTGACCACAGTCTGCCTCGTGGCTTGAAGGGTTGGTTTCCAAATGCCACTGCGGAAGTCTAGCCTTCCTCCACGCTCGCGTGGGCCGACGCACGCTGCCAGGATGTGCTCCGAATTCGTGATGTGCCAGTCATCTAGGACCTAGGAACATTTTGCCTGACGGAGCATGTCGCGCGATTTCAGCGGAAGAAAGTGTGAGAAATGTTGCTGCCTCTTCGTGGCCTCACACCGTGTGCGCTTTCGGAACTCCGCGGAAAATCAATCGGAAATCCTAACGCACAGGCTGCTCGGGGGGCCAGGCTCCCTCCAAAATCGTTCCAACCCACAAACAAGATTTCTGTATGCGCGCATTGCGCGCATCCGACAATTTACAAAGATGCAATTGTATCTGGCAATGTTTTGAGTAAAAGCTTGGATCGTTTTGACGCAAACAGATTTGCTCTTGGTTTTCCCTTCACCATGCTGTGGTTGTGCTCTGGCTGTGGCAGGTGCCGGTTCCGCTTGCCGGACCCTCCCTTAAACTGCCCACCCTCCGCCCCTTCCCGGCCTCTGACCCCGTGCTCCTGGCTGGCTTTGCTTCTCCGCTTTGACCGCATTCTTTTGGGACTCTAGGTCTTGTTCGTCCACGGAACCCATGTTGTCACCAATCTTGACGAATGAACGATACTGTAGGAGCAGTGCTAGTAGGAGGAGTGTTTCATTAGCTGTAGCATGCTTCAGTTGAAAAGCAAGAAACACAGACTTGTGGTACAACAGCCAGCAAGATGTACTTACAGCTGCACTGCTGGCTGAACAATCAACTGACACCAAGAAACACGATGCCGTTGCTAATGAATAGAGAGGGGAGTTGTCGCGTTAGTCAACGCACAACAATACATAGCCAGTCTACTCTCCAGCCAGACTGGCCGCTCTGAGCGACCGGACCTAGCCCTGACGCTCGAGCCAGGCAGATGCGCTGCGAGCTGGCATTATTTTTCCGGTCAGCTCAGTCAACTCCAAAGACTGATCAGTCGAGTCTCCACGGCTAGAGCAGCTTCTCCACGCTTGGCATGTAAGCACGCGAGAATGTACCTGACCTATAAGAAGAGTTGCATCCAAGCGATACCTTATCATTGACTTAAACTGAGACTGCCGCCTTGCACACCAGCCAGTGGTTGGGGCTCAGTCCGCTGTCAAGGCATTTCTGTGAGATATTGCAGAGAAACTCCGGGTCTCTCAGCGGTTTCTCTGCTGAAATCGTCCTGACACTGGCATACTCCCAGGCTGAGAATACAAGCCTGAGTTCGCTTGAACTTCGCCGCATAAGCTATGCCGGAGGTGCTTCCAGAATTCTGAGAAGGTGTCTTCCTGGAGACGCAAACGGCGTTGCCACAGAAACTTGAGCATATGTTTGAAAATGTTTGAAAATCACTGTGCATTTCAAGGCCATGTTGCGTAGACTCGTTCGGCTGCCAGAAGCTGCTCGGACTTCGAAGTTGCTGATCCGCAAGCACGGCATGGCATCAGCCCTTGCCGACATTCAGCTGTCCCAGCCAGGTCAACACGGAATGATGATTACACGGTACACTGCAGACCTTTTGCAGCAATGCCGCGAGAGCTTTAAAGTCTTGACCCCTTCTGACTGCACAGGCAGCAGGGTCTGGCATTACAAGCTGAATTCACCAGATTCGTTTTAAGCCAAGAAATCAGGCGGACTGCCTTTGTTCCGTCCTTCCTTGGCCATGCGCACAGGACAGTCAAACTTTGAGACTTGCATCCTGTGCTAGGTTACTGCATCCATGTGGTAACCTCAGGGAGCAATGGGTTGTGTACAGCGGTCTAACCAAGTTTGCATGAATTGCTTTCCCCGTTCAGCGTTGTCACGCTTTGCACTTGGAGTGGAAGATCAAGTGTCAAGCGGCTCATAAAACGAAGCTGGAAGGACTTCGTCCGTATGGTAAAAAGCTCTTCGCAACATGAAGGAAATGAGCAGAATGCAAGCAAGTCCGCTGAAAAGGACAGCGGCCTGCAAATCCATCGAGAGCCCAGTATTTCGCTCCACTGCCAGAGCAGCAGGAGACTCTGCTAAGGGCCATCTGGGAGGCATCTGGTACCAACTAAAATCGAAGGCGTCTGGGTGTCCAACATGGTTTTCGGGCTTGCAGCCATCGAGCTTGTCATTCACGCGACTCCATGCAAAGGGGCGCTCCCCATTGCTCGACGTCGGCGATGACACCTGAGATTGCGTGAGGTAGTGCAAGCACTACATACACAGCAAACATGTGATACTGCAACCCTCCCTCCTGTTGCCCACACACCCCGAACAGAATGCGGTTCAATTCCTCACAAACTTCTGGCTGGAAGCCGCTAGGAATGACAGGTCATGTCTGCTTGATCTCCAGCTTGCAACCTTCGCGTCGATGGCGCCGAAGCAATCATAGCTCAAATGCTTCCTGGGATTCAGGTCACACCTTGCGCTTATAGCATTGCAGGCATCCCCCAGCGCTAAGGGATCATCCAAGCGGTTGTATCTGATCAAAGCCATCAAGGATTTCAAAGAGTCACCCGCACCCTCTTGTCTGGCACGCTCAAACATCTTGGCTCGGGGGCATCGCTCAAAGCTGAAATCATCTGAACCACTTTTGGCCTGCAGGTGCTCATAGCCACCAACTTTCCAAATGTGCGTGAAGAAGGGGATATTGTAGCTTGGCCAGGATTTTTGCTTTCTGAGGACATATGTCACATCGCCCGCTTGTGAGTGTCCAGGCATGGTTTCTGAGATCCAAAGCACCCCGTCTTCCAAAGACTTGCCGGGCTTGAAGCGCTTGTAGTCCACCACCATCCATTGGTTGTTGCAGGTGCCACTGCTGTCCCGCACCTGATAGGAGGTCCACTCGGCGCCATTTTCTGACAAACGGTTGGCCACCATGGCTCTGGCCCAGGTCATCAGGCTCTCTGGCTTGACATGGCTCCATAAGGATCGGTTGTAGTTGTCGATCGTTGTCTCCATCACCACGAGCTGAGAGTCCAAAACATAGAAGTCGTCAGCACTGTACAGCCCGCCGGGGTCAGCTGTGAAGGCCATTCGTTGCACGACTGTGCCCGGCAAAGGCATGTCGAAATATTTGATAATTCTAAGCATTCCCCTGTATTCGTCCCAGGTTGCATGGGAAACCCACAAATCTTCGAGGTTCGGTGCCACCTGAACCAGCGCACTGCAATGCCCATGATGTCGTCTGTCGCCAATTTCAAAGAGCTCCGGGAAGGGGTCGAACATCCTGTGCCGCCGCTTGTGACGACGGTGCAGGAAGTGCTCATTGATGAAATGGCCCTCTGCAACCACTGCTGTCACGACATCATCCATGTCGGTGTCTACCATGACCAGCATGAGCATGTCCTCGACGGTTAAGGGAAGCTCTCCTTTCTTGCGATCTCGACCTGTCTCATATCCGTCAGCGAGGCCGTGAAGCTGCGCTAAAAGATAACCGACAGTTGCCCAATACTTGTCTGAAGGATTGGCCTTCACTTTCGCCACCATCCATTCCATGTTTGCTGAGACAAAGTCCCGCACCTTCTGAGGAACAGTGCCCGTTGCATAGCCCTTGAAGTCGACACCCCACATGTTTTGCAAGTGTTGCGTGATCCGCATATGGGTGAGTGCACCTTCAAGAAACCCAGCAGCGTAGCTTTGGGTGTTCCCACTTGCCAACGACGACGTATGAACATCAAGGACTGCCCATCCAGTCGAGTTTATCGCGTCGTGGAAGCTTCCCCAGGCCACTGCATCTCCTGGCAGGGGCACACTTCTACAGCTTACAACAATGACGCCAACTGTCGCGTCTACTACCCTTGACGCAGCAGAGTGTTAGCTAGCAGCCAGCATCTTGGGCAGTGGTTCTCCTGTGTGCCCTTTATGCAGCGCCATGTCCCCGCTTCTTTCAAGGACCACGCTCCAGGTCGGAGATGCGGACGCAGGAAAGGGTGGTGCATCTTCACTACGGCATGAAGAGAGCAAACAGGCGGCTGAGAGGGCTTTGTACATTGCCCATCTCATGGCTTTGCCTGGATGGGGCTCTCTTAACGTCCTGGGCTCTCGTGGCTGCCGAGGGCATCTCATCCAAGTCACTTCAAGTCACACCACGAACATTTGCAGAAGCATGCCAAAAACTGCATGAAGCAGTGTCATGTAAAGGCGCCTGAAGGTGTCCATGCATGCTCCCCACCACAGGCTGAACATTGGAATGCGCGCAGCAATCCGTCATCAGCCTGGCGCCACGATTCTACAACTTCCAGCTCAGCCCCGACTTCTACATGCCTCGTGAGCGCAGCGATCACAGACACACTTGAATCCAAAACCTGCAGGTGGCCAGGCATAAACAATCACGTTGTTTTGGATAATTTGTGCAGATAGTGAGGCAGCAGTGCATGCACGCTGGGCAAAGGAGTCAGACTAACCTGCTCTCTCGCTGACTATCACTATCATGCATTGTCCGACTGGCGAGCATTGATGCGTCCACATCGCGAAGCTACTGAGATCGTTTTGCGCCCCTCACCGCTACCCGCTGTTTCAAATGCCTAAGGGATCACGCTCGGTGTGCAAGGCTCGTCGGGTAAGCAATTTCAGGCGCTGACTGTCCATGACGCAGTTTACCAATCCTATCTCCCTTGTCCCAGTTTTGGGGGACGCGCAGAAGCAGAGTTGAACGCATTCAACCCCCCGCAGTCAGTGTTACCTATGAGGCATCTATTGAATTTGTCGCTTGGCTGCAGGTTTGCTGGTCCATTGCAAAGACAAGGGGCGATTCTCAAGTCTCTCACGGCGAGCATTGGACGGTTCCAGGAGTTCATCCTCACCTTGGCTACTAGTTGGAGAAGGGGCGCAGGTCTGCAGCCACAAACGCAGGAACCACCCAACCACGGCACTGAGATAACTGATAGTGATCTCGTCTCCTGTTCGACATGACTCCTCTTGACTGGCCTGCACCTTTGTTCTGCCCGCCTGGCTCGATGTCACGCATAGCAACAAGAGCCTGCAGCTTGCGGGGTCCAAAAGAGTGCATGCACAGCTTGACAGCTCGCCGACGTGCCTTCTTCAATGGGTCCGCCGTCTCGAGACCTGCAGGAAGCTTCCCCTGGCCTCTCTCCTCAGTGTCTTAGCTGTGGCTTCCCTCCAATGTGGGGTACATCTGCCAATTCCAATGCAACTTTGGAACTTGCCGGGTAATTTGAGAAGCTGTCATAATCTCAAAGCCAAGCAGCATGTTTGGGATCCCCAGTGGTGGCATTTGGCCTGCAGGCAACATCAACAAGATCACGGGGGCGTTGTGCGTTGTGAAGCATTCAGTTGGCTGTGTGTCTGCATCAAAATTAATTACACCGCCATCATTGTTCCACTTGCGTTGTTACTTTGCATTGCTCTTGGCAGTGCATGCAGGATGATTGATACAGGATGCAGATTCAAGTTGGCGAGCCCTCGGGATTAACATCAGTGTGCTTGCCGCATCGCAAAAAGGCAGCTGCGGAAGGTGACATGCGCTGTAGCGTCGTGCCACAGACGAAAGTAGTTTGCGCGAGAGACGCGGCATTCCGACATTTGCCCACAAGTATTTCTTCACTGAATTGACGTTCAGCTAACCTTCAAACATTGGCATTCCTGCTGCTTCTAGCCTTCCGACCTTTCGAACTTGATACTGCTGCAGAGATATGCGCAGAATCATGGGCTACTCGAGCCCACTTGACTCAGCTCGATTGCACACTAAAGCCATGTTCAGTTTGAGCGAGCTGGCTAGACATCCAGCACACTGTGTCAAGAATTCGCAACTAATAAAAATGTTCTCGGAGAATCTTGGAAACAAATGAGGTTTCCTAGGCTTACAGATTTGGGAGGTTTCGTGGGGCTGCATGCAACGCATCTCGATCAAATGTTTTTTTTCTCGGGGGTCGCCCTGGCCCGCCCAAATCGAAAAGACTCTGTTTGGCACAACCAATGGATTGCCGACCGCACAACAACTTAGCAAGGCTTAGGAGCAGCTCGTTGTTGATGAACTTATGCAACAATCTTTGGTGACCTGCGGGCTCGCAAAAGGTGATGAGCTGCTGCTAGCAGTCACATGAATATTGCATGATACCATTCCTGTCTTCACATGACAGGGAGTTTGCAGCCTGCGAGTCGAGTGCCCTGTGCCTCATCTCGGGTTCTCATAATGGTTTAGTCCACGCTCCAAAATTACACAGCTCAAATATGCTCAAATTCCCTTGAAGAGGGTGCGCGCGACAGGAAGGTCAACACCGTGAAGTTCTTGGAAGTGATGAGCCATGGTTGGCCGTCTTGCTAAATCTCAAGTCTCAAGGCTGCAAATTCTGAAAGGCTATCCTCCCAGTCTCTTCGCAAGACTAGCCGCTCTGCTGGTGGGAACAACGGCGGTGAAGGGTGGTGGCAAAAAGAAATGTTGGGACTGATGGTACGGATTGCTTTACTAGGACTTTCCTATCATAGGCAAACTACAGCATGGGTGGAAGCTACTTCAGACAGCTAGCCACGGTGGTCTTACACAAGAATGCCTTGCCGTGGAAAATGCAGCATGGAACCTGTGATGACAGCAACATGAATGTTCTGGTTTCTGCCGAAGTCGGGAATGAGATGACCGTTTAAGTTTTGAAGGTTCGTGAAGAGGCACGCTGGGCCTGTACCTGCCGTCTGTGTCCGAGAGAGCCCAAATGCGAGTTACCACTGCACATTGCTGACGCAACCTCTAGCTCATCCCCTTAGTCCCACGTCCCGCTGCACATCCCACATGCGCAGGCCGCTTGCAACATGTGAAGCGAATGTCTGGCAACACTTGCTAACCTGGTGGGTGTACGGGGTAACTGCACAAACTATCATAAGGCATGCGCGGCAACATACATCCAAGCTGTTTCCTGGACTTCCATCGGGCATGTTTGAGGCTGTCACAGTTCAAGCCAACTGGCTGGGGAGGTTGCGGCTCTTGCTGATGATTCTCAGACGGGGTGCCCATGCGTGGGAAGGTCCAAGCCGCTTCATGTAGGCTGGCCCTGCCCCACTCTAAGGCCCAAGCATGCAACAGGCACGCGCAGACTTCCTATTTACTCATGGCACTGCCTAATAGCAGCATTGCTACGGATGCGCGCTCATACTGCGGCGGTGCATGTAAGCTGCGCTCCCCTTCTCTGACAGCCAGGTGCAGACGGTTTTCTCGTCAGCTCTGAGGCTACTCTCCGTGGTTCTGCCTTTGGCTTAGTGCCCCTCCTGAATAGTAGTTGTGGCGTGCAGGCGCTGCAGGGCTAACCTGGCGCAGGTCTCGGATGAGCCTCATGTGCTTGCAGCTACAGTATTTTTTGTGACTCTCGAAGGAGCAGCCGGCGGGGTCAGCAACCGCATAGAGCCAGCCTAGCAGAGTTTGTAGGTAGGTAGCACGCCATCAGGGTCAATGTTTCAGGCATCCTCTTCTTCCCATGTTTGTAATTGTTGGCGTGTTGCTTGGAAGACCGCATCAGAAAGCATCAATCGTTCACAATTCTTGTATGATTGAGTCAGGCCGCACTCGAGTCGCGTTCAATTGACAATTGATGATAACGGTGATGATAATGATGATTATCAACTGTGCCCTGCAGTACCTCCACCGCTGCTTCAGGCGGCGCAGGGAAGCTGCGCAGCTACACCCAAACAAAGCTTGCCCACGTTGGATGGTCAGTTGGAGGGTAGCCAGGTAGCCCACTTGTCGATCTCATGTCTCAAGGATTCTCAAGGAAGGTATGGCCTCAGCCCTGGCCATTTACGCGCTCAGTTTGAACACCCTGCTACAAAGCAAAACCCATCGGCTGAGGGCACTTTGGGGGCACTTTGGGCACATCGCTTGCTGGACCATGCCTGCATGAGTGATTCACGCTGGAGAGGCTCAAGTAGAGTCCCTGCGCGCCAGTGTGGCTGTGCCAGAGCGAATTTGCATTGAATGTCCTGCTCACATCACAATCACACAGAAGACGTAGCATGCAGGCAGCTGTAGCTGTCAAGCTTCCAAGCTTCCTCATCAACGTCCAGAGCAAATCAGGCGTACCTCGAAACGGCACAGCTCCTAATCCGTAATCCAGCACTTGCACTAAGTGCTGCTAAGCCACTGTGATCTGAAAATCCTCAGCTGACCCAACACAACACCTCGACGGCAAGCTACTGCTCACTTTTATGCGATTGCACACGTGCATGACAAGGCTTTCAAACGAGCCGCCTATGTCCTTGCAGATGGCCATCAGATCTGTCTTGGTCACTGTCCGACCATCAGCACCTAGGTGAGCGCCCCGAAGCATGCTTCGAAGGGCTATAACGGCTACCGTCGTCAGGGCTAGGATGCTCGAATCAATGCTTGCTTCCCAGTGGCCCGTCCGCAAGAAGTCTGGCCCCTGGCGAAGGAGATCATGAATTATGAATCGCAAGCAGATTAGTGCCAACTACCTGTTCCTGTCAACACAGCTGTTGACGTTGAAGGGCACAGCCTTGCATAGCCGGTCCAGCAGGTCGCGCTTCTCTGATGGAAGCTGCTTGTACTGATGCACCCTGAGGTAGCAAGTGGATTTGCGGCATCGCATGCTTCTGCCGCCCTACTGAAAAAGTCTGTCTGCATCGAAGCGTCAGCTTGCCAATCTCCAAGCCGTCACCGTGCATCACCGGCACGTCCTCCATGATGATCTGCCCCCCCTGAAATGCAACCTGTGCGATGCCAAGACCCTGTCAGGTCTTGTGTTAACCCTGGACAGGTCCTCCCCAACTGCGATTCTGTCCCAGAAGCATTGGCATACAGGGCCCGCTCTTGCGGGTGAGCCTTCTGCCACCCATCCACACGGACTGGATCCTTCAGTGGAGTGCCCGAAGCCTGTCGATGATTCTGCGGACACAAAACGGATGCTTCTCTAGCCAAAGGGATGCTGGTGATCAGCCGGCCTCATCGCAGATTTCCTCGGACTTCAGTAGTACAGGAGTGGCAGAGCCATCCACCTTTTTGATAAATTGATTTTGCACACATGCGTTTGCGATTGCGGATGATGCCAGAGCGCAACACCTTGATGTCCCAGAGGGCGCGTGCATCTGGGAGCACTTGCCAGCAGCTTGCATGCCTTAACAAATTACACCTTGCTTTTAACGCTTTTCTCCGCGACTTGCAATGGTTCTGCAGCAAAGCCATGCTTGCCAGTCCAGTCACGCCTGGAAAGGCCCCAACAAACCAAAGTTTCCATCAAGCTCTGGCTTGCGGTGCAGAGCCCCGACAGACATTTCGACCTCCATGCTAGTCTGCCACACGTCACTACATCACATTTACAGTAATGAACAATGTCACGCAGCTTCTGGGCCTTTCTCTTCCGCAATTTGCTCGTGCTATCATCCTGCAGCACTCTTCTAGTTGACTTTTGGCAAGGAAGTACATTGACATGCTCGCGCATGTTTCAAGTCTACTTCGCTCGATGGGTCAAGCACTCGTCCTCCTGCACATGCAGGGAAGATGGCCTGATTGCCAATGTCCGTCCCTCCATCGCTTTTTGCTGGAAATGCAGAGGGAAGCTCCTTTGGCAAACCTCCTTGGCTCTTGTTGTGTCAATCCTTCAGGGTTCGCTTAGCACATAAGCAAACAGAAGTTTATCGCACCAAAAGGTGCTTGAGCTGGCGTCAATGCGGAGTGCTTGCAACCAGGCTTCATTGGGGATAGTGGATCTGCGTGGGATGTGCTTCTGCTGCAGCTCATGCAACACTTGACCGTCGGCATCAAAGACATGCACGGTCTTGCCGTTGCAGTCTACGACCTTTCAAGCACTTCCATCACGTTTGATTTTTCCACGCCCACAGCATCCTGTTGTGGCTTTTGCTTGGCAGGCGGCTGAAATTTGAGATGATCCCAGAAGCTTGAAAGTTTTCAGCTTCTGCTCCAACTCCTCTCTGAAGGTCGGTCCTTCCATTTTTACATCACGGATATGGGCAAAAGATGTGGTTTCTGCATCCCCGGCAGCATCCATTGCAGGTCTGTAGTCCTTTCGGGTTTCGCAAGCTCGAGAAAGACTCATCGTCATCAAAAGGCTCCCACCAGTCATCTCGCCAGTCCTTGATTGATCTTCATAACAATCAGCTGAGGCGTCCTGCCCGAGACTGGTTGGAACCCTCTTTCTCTCCCGGAAGTCCTTCTCTCAGATCAGGCTTAGAGCCTCAATTGTGCAAATGAAATGGTGATCCAGCAACAATGATTGCCTTCCCCCACACATGCTGGCTGTGCACCGCTGCGGGCGTACTGGCGCTTTTGAAGTCAAAGCAGCCGTCAACTGGATGATGAACATTTCAGACCCAAATCCTTGTGTAGCATACGCAAATCTGACACCTGTTGCTAACTGCTAAGGTCGATGAGAACGGTCCGGCCGATTAGCCCGACGTGAACCCAGTGAGACTGATGAGGATGAGGGCCCGATAAGCGTGGGGCAACTGAGGCTGACGAGGCCGCTAGAGCCGGCCGGCGTTCATCGAGCCCTCTGAGCCAAGTGGCATGGCCGATTGTCAAGGCTCGATTTCAATCGAAACTGACTACCATGAATCCCAAACTGTGTTCCCTCGTAGCGGTTGGGATGCTCTCTTGCGTGAGGCATACTGTATGATACTCTGGCAAGCGAGGAGGTCGCGAGTCGCAATTCCTTGCATGTTGTGCTGTGTGCAAATGTGCTGTCATGGTTGTCATGTAAGTCCTGTGTTCCTCACTCAAGAATTTGCGGACGGGCCACGCAAGAGTTGGACCCTCTCCCTTCACTCCCCTCCAATCGCACGTCTGCAGTCTGCGAATGGCGTATTAGTCGTGCAATTGTCCCAAGTGACACCATGTCGCAAGTGTCCAGATTGTGCTGCATGTCCCAACTGTCCAGGCACAGCGAAACCTTCGCCATCGCCACACCCGTCGTCATTCTACCTGCATTGACGGCACAGCGAAGTACTGACCATGGCCTCTCTTCGCCGTTGCATTAGGATCCCTGCTTTCTTCTGGTCCTCTTGGCCTGTGCATATTCCACTAGGGACCTTTACGCAGCACTCTGGCTGCTTCGACAGGTCCGCTACCGCGTTGATGTGTAACTGGCGCCCTCTAGCTTGTACTGACGGTCATTGCAGACAAACGTGGTCCGTTGCATTCGAGTTGCCAGGTGGGCACCGTCATGTAAGGTTTTAACTGCTGCCTGACAATTGGTCTGCTATGCGGAGAAGCGCGCAGAAGGCGAGAACTTGGTTCGATGTTGCATTGTCACAGATTCCTGGGGCGGAAGCTCTTGTTCTTCATCTGTTCAGTTTGCTTGAGGACACTTCGCACCCTTGTTCGAACTTCCATGTAGAAACTGTGTGCTTAGATAAGCCACATGGCCCCAAACCTTGCTTCTAGTACTGTTTCCTGTAGTGTAATGATCACGGGATCTTTCCCAACATGTGCTCTACTCTACAAGTCAACACCGGGCAGCCAACGTGACTTCAGAATTTGATGAAACCTCCAGATCTCCTAGACACGCTACAAATCGCAGACTCAGAGTAACTTTAAACGCAACCAAGCAGCGCTTGGCTTGAGCATTCTGCATCATTTGACAAATCAAACACTTGAAATGTCAATGCCTTGAACTCGGCATGCAAGGACATTCTCATGAACCCCGTCGTGCCGGCCCCAACGCCATCTGGCCCGATGAGCCCCGCCCCCCTTGCCCCTTTTGCCCCCCTCCCACGTGTTGGCATTGCGACGGTGTCATCTTTTCATTCTGGAACATAGATACCACTATCCATACCGGTGGAATGCTTACAAGCTGAGACCTGTCAGCTCAGTATACACGGGGCTTTGCTCCTCCTTCAGCGTGCGGTCCAACTTTAACAAGAGCTGGGGTCCTGCATTTGGTGAGCCCTTCTTGCCTGGAGCATTGCGCCCTCAGGACTGGAACCCTCTCTTTATTGTCGCGCCCTGCGTGCTTGGAGACCTTGCTCTCTGGGCCAACGCATAAAATTTTGCCGCGCACTGATCGCACCATGACTTTCACTGAGATGTGGCCGTACATAGTGACTTGTCTGACAATGCCCTATTTCTGCGTCTGCTGCTAGTATGTGTCAATGGGCGACGCCTGTCCAGAAGGTCGTGAGGCTAAGCAGGAGGGGTCAGGAGTGCTGTTGTTGGTAGGGGCATCGCAGGAAAAGCTTGAATCCTTGAATCAGAAGTTGCCACTGCAACTGCGGACAGGATTCAATCCGGAACAGCTCGCGTGCTGGCATCTCCCCGTCAACCTCGACTTCCCAACGTCCGCGGTCTTCATGAAAATTTACCTCGGCTGCCGATTTCTGCAGAAGCGCGGCCTGCCTTATTCCGCAGCATCAAGCCCAAACTTGGTCGCTGACAAGCTGAACGGCTCGCCCATTCAGCTTGGGCTTGCTTTCTAGGCCACGGAGAACCAAGGTCACCATGACGAGCTGTTGTCCTAGAACTATCCTCTGGCCTGCTTCCTGGGCCTGCTGTCAGTCCAAAGTAGGTCCACACAATCAAACCCTGTAGGTCTCAGTGCTTATCCCGCTCGCCGTAGATTACGTAGCTGCTGTTCCGATTAACTGCGTGCTTGAGTGCCGCAACTGTGCAAGTGGCGTAAGCAGATCGCAAAGAACACAAAGAATGGGATGATCCCCCGTACACGTTGCATAGTTTTGCGAGCAGCCCAGGAGAATGCACTTGTTTTGGCCACCATGCTCCTAAGCTGGATCCCTGACATTCAGGGCCAGAGAAAGATGCGTGAAGAGCAGTGACACATGGCGAAGGCCTATAAGTCTTGCAAAGCAGCGAATTGGTTGTGAATTACTCAGCGTCGGTATCCAACTCAGTTTCTTGGGTCCCGTCCTCGCTGTCCAAAGCTGTAGCTGGCAGTTCTGATCTCGCCGGGCTGCCACTTGGAGCACTCCAAGCGTCTGGATGATTGCAACATTTCTCTCCCACCGCTGGAAAAGGAACTTCTTGCACCCTGGAGCGGTCTGGGCTGTCTGGACTCAGGACATGAACAGCAAGGGTTGCGTTGTCACAGCTTTTCTTGGCCGGCTTCGCTAGCTTGGACCTGAAAGAGCTGGTTGCCAACGTGTTTAAGCCAAACCGATGCGAGATTCTCATCATGAGTGAAAATTGGCATTCTGGAAGTCTGCGTCCAGCCGCCACAGATTCGGTAATCCAGGATGGCTGAACTACATATTGCGCCACAGCATGAGCTGAGCTGGCGTCCCGTAATGCTTTCCGCTCTTTGGCTCCACTCAGCTGTGTGCAAACCACGTGCGTCACGCTTCGCTTGGCCAGCCGTGGGTTGACGACTGCCCCATGTAAGCGAGCCAACTTGTTCAGGCCATAGGCAGACAGGCCACCTGTCAAAGCAGGACAAGCAACATCAGCCAAGTGTGACACCCATTGACACTACATCCTACATGCAATTTGGTCGGACATTTGTCCGAGTCGCTAAGTCCCTCAAGCATGCCCTGCACCAGTCTAACAGCTTCAGCACTTACCTCCAACATCAACGCGTCCATCGAAGTAGATGCAGCAATCCTTGAAAATTTCGGAGTGCCGGGGATGCCGCTCTTCGTCTTGCCTTGTTCCGGCTATTCGTGATGACAGGTTGCCAAATAAGAAGGCGTCCACTTCTTGGCATTCCAGTTTGCGTTGTCGCTCTTCCCAGTAGCCTTTATAGAAATACAGCTGAGCTGGGCTTGTCTCAAAACGATTGTGAAAAGGATCCCCTTTGTGCTTCCCGAAGGATGCGAACCCCACTTGTGACAAAGTGGCTACTTTGTTGATGACGCCCTCAGGCTGAGATACATTTCCTTGCCTCTCACTAATTATTGTAACAACGGCGAGTCACCGGACCAAGTGCCCTTTTCCGCGTGATCAGACAGTGTTACGCCGTGCTGCTGGTTGTTGAGCGAGCGCTTCCTCGACCATCTCTCCCTGTCATCTTGCTTTGCGCCTTTCTCTGCGCTGCCTCTGCGTGCATGAAGCGTCATGGAGCAAACAACACAATGACAAGCTCACAGCTCACATGTGATCACATGTGTTGTGCTAAGCGGGCCTTTGGGCTTTGCCCAGGATTCCAATGACCTTCTGCGGATGCTCAGTCACGAGCTCAAGGTGCACGCGTGACAATTCAAATCTCCCTGATAGAGCGCTGGCTAGATCGTTTGCTATACAGCCAGCGCATCACAAGAATCATCTTCATCACAAGTTGGAGAATGGGCCAAGGGGCATAGGTCCGATGCGAATGGATCTGCATTGAGGTGAAAAGTGGAGTTTGTCTTGTCCAAAGCTTGAAACCTTTTACCTTCCATATGTCTTAAACCTAGCCAACATTCCAGCGTCCGTTTCCTCCCAGCGTCCATCTACTAGAAGGGCTTTGTAGATCTTGCACCTGTCTGGCACTCTTGTGTTGACACCTGTTGGACGTGCGGCGGGCCATGTTGCACTCAGTCCATGCATGTTCATGTGCTTTGCAAGTGCGAGCACTTTGACTTTTACAAGCTTGTTGGAGACCTTCAGGTGGCTTGTGGCTGCCAGTCAGTCGCCTGTCCACAATGCACGCAACGGCCCCCTGGGCCGTTGTGCCAAATGACTGACCTGCTTCCGGAGGTGCGGATTACACGTTATCAATGATCAAAGCTGTAAGCTGCCTGCTAGCCGCCCAATGCCAGCACTCAGTCAGTCCTAAACATTAGGAAGAAGTTCAACAGCTTCAGCATCACTTGGTGATGTGCTCAAGCTGACTGAAAAATCCGAGGCTGTGCTAAGAACTCATGAACCTTCGTCAGACGAGTGGCCGCGAGGCACAGAAACATCTTCCAGCCTTCAATGTGAAAGGAACGAGGCAATGCTGAACAAAGTAAATACTGCGAGGTTGTACACTCGCAATAGCTGTGCGAAAGACCTTTGGTCTTTCCAGTTGGAAACGTAACCCGCTGCGGACTGCATCTCGGGTTGGCTATAAGTAGCTCATTAAACTGGCTCCGGTCCGTTCGATCTGTAAACCTCTTTCGAGGACGATGAGCCATCACTGCAGCATCTCCCGCGAGGAGTCACCTTCGCTGCCCTTCGGGCTCGCGCCGGTATTCACATAAAAATGACGCTGCGTGATGTGCTGCGCAAAGCGCTTCAGAAAAAAATGGCCTGCAATGGAGCCAGCCAACATGAGCAACACAAGGGGAATGATGCCCGCAAAGCAACCAGTGATTGGAAAGGAGGCCACCCCTGTGGCAATCCCTAGCACAAGAAAACATCCTCCGCAAATACAAAGAATATACTTTGACGACGTGTCCTTAGGCTCAAGAACAAATCCATGAAGAACGATTGCCGATGGCACCGCCGAAAGAGCTCATTATGCATCCATGATTCCATAAGATAGGTCAGGAGGTCGTCTAGTATCACGAAATCGCGCTCCAAGCCAGCCCGATAAGCTATGTCGACCTCGCTAGAATCAAGAATGTGGTGCTAGCATGAGTGGAGTAGAAGCGGCATGGATTGCGCTCCTGCCTCACCGCCCACCTTTACTTTGCTCCAGAAAGCAGCTTGAGAGGCGCAGTGTGCCCGAACAGGGATCTGCTGCTGCTCCAAGTCCTCTGCGACGAACTCAACGATGACTGAAAAGGCATGTCCACCTTGCTCTTGGCAAAACTCAACAAATGCAGCCCAAGCATGTCAACACGCTGATCAAGCTGAAAGTAGCAGGCAAAGGAGTAGTGGAAGTCAGTCAGGGAATGAGCCAAGCAGGCGAGCATCTTCAGCAAGCTTCTCAAGGTCAGGCCGCATCTTGTGGAAAGCAGTTTCTGATAGATTCTGCATTAACACACTCTGTGCCGATCGCCCATACAGAGGGTTTCCAAAAATCTGCCCATGCCACACAGGAACATTGCCAAATAACAATGTCAAGTTTTACATATGCTTCCCTGGAACCAATACAATTTTGTTAAGCCTGCAGCCTCTATCGTCTTGGTTCTTCTTGTCCTTGATGACGCCGCGCACTCTGCGCATTTCAGAGTTGGTATCATCTAGGAACTCCTCGGGTGAGTCACGGGTGCAGCAAATTGTTATCAGACAGCTGGCTCACGTCCACTCCAAGCATCTGCTGCCCACAGCTCTTGCGAGCGGATGCTCAAACAAATGCAGGGCAAACCTGCAGCAAACCTTAGCTTTGTCCCCTGCCATGTCTTCTTGACGTCTCGTCGCCTTTTCATGAAACTGCGGATCTCCGTGTGCAGCCAGGGGTGCACGCCACCAATCAGTCCCATGGTCAGCGACACAAGCACATTGATGCCATCACTGCATCTTGCCGTAACATCCAGACCTCCATCCTGAAAGAACAAACCGCCCAGCTTTGCAAAGGTTCAGGGTTTGTTTTGAAACTTTGACATGCAGAACCTGAGGTTCAAGCACTCAGACAGGTTGCGTTTGGACACGCCACCTTGGCTGACGTCTTCTGATTTCACCTGGATTTTTTTTTACTTTGGCGTGCTGCTAAGGTGCGCAGTAAGCTTCAAAGTTGCCCGGGTAGACGTCGAGGCATCCAGGTTCCAAATTGCACTCCGGCTGGGTACATGCTGCACCTCAGCCAAGGCTTCCTTTGCCTATGTTGAAGTCACGAAAGCCTGTGCAGCGCTAATCACGCCAAAAAAAGTCTTACAGTACATACATAAGGGTGCGCTCTGGGCAGCTCAAGGCCCCCGCAATCGCTGGCTGAGCAGACAGCCGCCGCTGCCAGTTTGACTTGAAGTGCCAACACGGCAGCAAACCAAAGCATATACCTGCTGGGGGCCTTGGTGCAAGAAAGGCAACATCGACTGATGCATCCACGCAGGCCTTTCCTGGATTTTCTGACCAACTGTTTTGTGTTGCTTAGTCCGTCTACGCTTCTAGGTCACATCGTCCGGTGGTTTTCTGCACGCAGGCTTCCGGTGAAAGCTTTGCTTCTGAACTTGCGTGTTCCTGAATTCCATCACTTGTGGCCTTTGCCCTTCCAGTAGCTTCAGGCCGTTGAAGACCTTCAGACCAAAATCAAATGTGCCTCCTGTTCGGACCAAAAGTGCCTAGGCCAGCCCCTGGCAATCCTCATATTACGGCAACAAGAATTGCAAAGGTTGCTTTAGTTGCCCTAGACCACAGAAAAGGGCCAACATTCTGCTCGCCTGTTCGCGGCTCGACAACTACAAGCTCTGCCAGTCAAGGATTTCATGAGCTGGCTGTGAGTGTGCCTTCCATCGGACAAGTCTTTGCCTCGTTCAGCTCTTGAATGCTTAGTTTTCAGCTGAGTTAGTGCAGGTCTTTGACGGCTTTGTTTAAATTTCCGGGTACACGCACCAGTTGCACGTTGCAGAATCGGAAAGCCTGAGGTAGCACGTTCCGGACCAACTCAGGCCAACACGATAGCCATGCTTCAGCAGCTGTGTGCTGGAGCAAAGCGACTGCAGTCGAAAGAGCGCCCCATGCAGTTGAGTCGTCTGATTGTGATGCTTGGCTGGTCGCTACGAATTTTGACACTTCTCTGCGCTGATGCAAGTTTGTTTTTTCACTCGAAAGCACGCTTGTGTCTCTTGCAGGGTTGGCCCAAGAAATTGGCCACATGCTCATGGTGACCGTGTCTTCGCATGACCGTCGCCACAAAACTCGGATCTGACCAGAGCGTGGTCTCCACGATCTCCAAGACACTCAAATCATTCTCAAGCGCCTGCAGCACTATACCTTTATCAAGACGCAGCTCCTTAGCAGCAAATTGCAGAGCGTAGCCATGGCTACGGACTGCCATGAGCACAAAGTCTTTGTTGGCTCGTAGGGTACTAGATGCAAAGCGTAATGCACAACCGTTTTTGGTTATGGCAGCCGCTGCAAGGTCTACATCGGCCTTTAATGAGTCACAAGCAAAGGCCAAAGCATTGGCATACTGAGAAACCGCGCACATGACAACCTCACGGTCTGCTCGCAACTGAGGTGATGCGAATTGCAGACTGTAGCCATGCCTCTGAACTGCTGCCATGACAACCTCCCGGTCTTCCCGGAGAGCCGGAGTCGACAGTTGCAAGGCCGAGCTGTGAGTTCTTACGGCTTCCAACACAAAATCCTTTCGCCCCCAAAGCTCCTCCGCTGGGTAGCTGGGCCGGCAGAGCCGACGCATCAACAATTTCAAAACGAAGTCCTGAGAATGCCGTAGCGCCTCGTGAGCAAAACGAAGAGCACTGGCGCTTTCCTGACCCGGCAAGGCAGCAACAACACAAGCATACAAAGCTCAAACATCAAACTATGGGGATCAATCAATAAACCTGAAAAAGGCCAACAAACCAACAGGAGAAACACTTCAAAATCAATGCGGGATTTGGGGGTGCAACTAAGAAAGCATCAACAGCAGCATTGGATGGGTGACGTTTGTCAGTTTACAAGACGCGGAGGGTTGGGAGCGCAGGTCCTGGCAATAATTGAAAATTCACTCGCAATCAGATGAAGTCTTGTTTCAAATGAGGCCCTGCAGGGCCGCTTTGAAAAAGTCGGAAGTGCTGGGGGAAGGGCGTAGCCGAATGTGGCAATAGTTGAAAAGTAAAGAGACGGGTTGAGCTGGACGCCGCCCGCCCACTTGCGAATCATTAAGAGGCCTTGCAAGAGATGAAAATGTATCAGAGATCATGCGGGATCATGTTTGAGTCAAAGTAGCTATTCAACAACAGCGGGGAGGTTGGGGGGTGCACAAGCTCTCCCATTTGCAAACGCAGCGATCGAAGGCGGAAGCGTTTTTTGTTTCCTAGGTGCGGCTGTAAGGATTTCCTATAACCCGGCGGCTGCAAGGATTCCCTACAGCCGCGCCAAGGAAAACAAAACACGTCTGGGGGCGCAGGGGCTCCTTTTTTCCTAGGCGCGGCTGAAAGAATTCCCCACAGCCACGGCAAGAAAAAAAACACGTCCGGAGGCCCGGAGGCGCATTTTTTTGTCCCTATGCGTGGCTGTAAAGGATTTGGCTAGCCGCGGCTGGAAGGATGAATGAAGAGAAATCCGAGGACGCTCCACGCGCCAGCGCTCCAACGCACCAAGAACAACGAGAAGGTCCCCACATGTCCCCACTTACGCCCAGAATTTCGAGGACGCTCCACGCGCCAGCGTCACGACGCGCGGAAAACAACGAGAGGCCGCCACTTACGCCCAGAATTTCGAGGACACTTCACGCGCCAGCGTCACGACGCGCCGAAAGCAGCGGGAGGGTCGCCACTTGCGTCCAGAATTTCGAGGACGCTCCACACGCCAGCGTCGTGGCGGAAAACAACGAGAGGGTTGTTACTTACGCCCAGAATTTCAAGGACGCTCCACGCGCCAGCGTCACGCGCCAGCGTGATGCCACGCCGTGATCACTCATAGTTCTTCGCATGATGAAACCGGACGGCGCCTGACGAAAAACCACTCAAATGATGAAAGCTGTTTAATATGACGAAGGAGGATCACAAATGATGGAGAAAAATGCCGACCAGTGATGAGTAACAGTGAATAATGATGAGCTTGATCAAAAACATGAAAATGATGAATCATGACTAAAAATCATGTGAATGATGAGAGAAGACAAAGACGGCAAATAATGATACAAAACCTGATGAAAGATGATGAAATGTGGCGAGAGATCAATAAAGCTCTTAAATACGGTGAAAATGATGAATATTGATAGAAAGTGATGGAAATGGTCAAAGATCATGCATATGATGGAGCTGATGTCATGATGAGAACCCTGAAGCATGATGCAAAACCAATACAAATGATACAAAGTGAGGGTTAATGATGAAGCTTATGAACATCATGAAAGCTCATGAGAAACTATGAAACATGATGCAAAAACACAACACATGCAGAGTCACCAACCCTGCACAAGTTTCGTACTAGCTTGTTCAAAAACACGTATATTACAAGCTCCTATTTCAAGAAGCCAGGGGGTTGGGGGGGGCGCAGTCCTCCCAGTTGCAAACCATTGGAGAAATTGACGGTTGTTAAGGAGGGTTCTCTATTAGACACGATACCGGTTCATGTTCGAAAAAGCGAAAGGTCGTGGGGAGTAACAGCTCCCCTAGTGTGCAAATCGTTGAAGTTGAGGGATGTGACAGTTGCTGAGGTTGATTCACTCACTACATTAGACATGATACGGGGTCGTGTCTAAGAGAGCAACGGACGTGGGAGGGTGTGGGGTCAAAAAACTAAGTAACTAACGATCAAACAAGTCAAACACGAAACAACAATATGAAAAACTGAATTCACCAAAAATGAAAATTAAGGATCAACAAAGACACAATTAAGGACTTGGAAGCTTGAGCACTGTAAAGGGCACGAGTCGGAGATTCGGAGGAGCAAAACAAAATAAAACAAAATTCAATGAGGATCCAAAAGCAAACGGTGAAAAGTGGTGAGAAATGATGAACCAAAATGTGACATGATGATTAATGAATGATTAATGACACCTCATGACGAAAACATATACAAGCCATGAAGCATAATTTAACCTAATTAACCAACCTGATAACACATCATGAAAAACTATTCAGTACGATGAAAGCTGTTGAAACAAACGCAACGCGTCCAGAACACCGAGAGGGTCCTCATTTAGGATCAGAATTTCGAGGACGCTCCACACGCCAGCATCACGACACGCCGAAAACAACGAGAGGGTCGCCACTTACGCCCAGAATTTCGAGGACGCTGCACTCTCCAGCGTCGAGACGTACCGAAGACAACGAGAGGGTCGCCACTTACGGCTAAATTTCGAGGACGCTCCACGCGCCAGCGTCACGACACGCGTAAAACAACGAGAGGGCCGCCACTTATGCTCATAAGTTCGAGGACGCTCCACACTCCAGCGTCAAGACGCACCGAAAACAACGAGAGGGTCGCAACTTACGGCTAGAATTTTGAGGATGTTCCACACGCCAGTGCTCCGACACGCCTAAAACAACTAGAGGGTCGCTACTTATGCCCATAAGTTCGAGCACTCCCCACGCGCCAGCGCCACGACACGAAGAGAACAGCGAGAGGGTCGCCACTTACGGCTAGAATTTCGGCAACGCTCCACGTGCCAGCGCTCCGACGCGCCTAAAACAACGAGAAGGTCGCTACTTACGTCCAGAATTTCAAGGACGCTCCACGCGCCAGCGTCACGACACGCCTAAAACAACGAGAGGGGCGCCACTTATGCTCAGAGTTTGGAGGACCCTCTACCGCCAGCGTCACGACGCGCCGACCGACTCCCTTCTAAACAAAAGGAGAGGAGAGCGTGGCTGACTAGAGCCTTACAGCCACGCCTAGGAAAAAAACACGGGCCCGCGATCGGAGATTCATCATAAATCAAAAGGGAACATAAAGGAAGTAGGGCCACTGTTTCAAGAAAGCAGGCGGGTCGGGGGTGCAGCGGGCCTCCCGCATCTGCAAAACAGTTGAGCGACTTGGCAGTAATTAGTTGAAGATCCTCAGAACTTGAAATCAAGCTTAGAGATTTTGATGCATCCAGCGCCCTTTTACTTTTTCCTGATATTGGCAGTCTAACCTACTGCAATATCCTTCAACGTCTTCCATCGAGTACCGTAACTCAGCATTTGCAAGTCCATTAAACCTGCAGATGCTGTAATTATCAGCAGTTGGAGCTCTGCAGAGGCTGTGGGGACTGCAACATATGCAGCCTTTGGATGTTTTCAAGAGCTGCAGATATTACAACTGCTGTTCTTCCTGCAGCGGATACTGCAGTTTGGTTGACGGAATTCGCACCCTTCAAAGGAATTAACAAACTACATCACACATCTTTCGTTGGCCTCCCTTTGATCCTTTTAGGCGAACACCGAAATCATAACACAAGCAGTTTTGTTAGCACTCCTGCAACCAAACGCCCGTTATGACTCAAAGCAGAAGTCATAACAAACACCTGTTTCCGCATGTTGCCGCTGGCACGTGCAAGCTACCGGAGGTCTTGGAAACATAGATTTTGGGAGGCCTTTTAGCAACGAAAGTCATAACAAGCGGCCTTCTTACCCTTGAACCGCTGCTCTAGACGCCCGCCTTCGCAGTTGCCGTTGCAGAAGAAAAATGAGCTGCCCCAACCGGCCCTCAATCCCCAAAGTGGCAACCCTAGGTTTCCATTGTAGCATCCCGACGCCCGATGGCAGCAGAGAACAGCAGATCTCAAACATAGCAAAACTGCAAGGAGACCGAGGATTGTTATGACCGTGCGCTTTTGCACTTCCCCAGGTAAAACAGCACGTAACCTGAAAATCGTTGCGACCTCAGTTGTCCCCTGTAGTTATTTGATTTGCTGATCCCTATAGTTGATTTTGACCCGTATCTGTGTCTTGTAGTTTTTTTTGATGCACGTCCCTTCCTGAACTGCTGCCAGTACTATCTCCTCGTCGCGTTGCAGGTCTTCAGCCAACCGCTCCAGCACGCGACCATTCACAGACACTGCAAAGAGCAGAAAGTCATGGTCGGCTTTGAGACAATCTGCGACGAAGTCCATGCTGGACGCGTCTTGCTCAACGGCTGCCAGCACAACCTCTTTGTCCCTTTGCAGCTCTGCTGCGGCGAACTCCAAAGCCAATCCATCCCGGCTTACAGCTGCCAAAACCAGGGGCTTGCTCTTGCGCAATGCATCGGAAACATATTGCAATGCAAAGCCATCCTGCCTCACAGCAGCCATGCAAACTTCAGGGTCATCCTGCAGTTCAGGGCAAAACTTCAGAACCATGCCGTTCTGTTTGGCCAGGTTGAGAGCAAAGTCACGGGATTTGCGCAACGTCTCGTCTGCTAAGCCTATGCAAGACGCATCTCGCACAACCGCGGTGGAAACAACCTCATGGTCGGAGCGGAACTTTGTGGGCGCTTCGCGCAATACTCTTCGAGGATGGTGTGAATCTTCTAAATCCTCCAGCAGCTGCACCTGCTCAGCCGGACGACGGATCAGGGTGACATTCATTGCATCGTTGGGCTGCAGGAAAGAAGACAAGGGTAGATCTTCCGGTAGTTCCTTTGTGCCACAGATCAGGCGCTGCTCGCGCTGCCGAATGCCTCTTACAATCAAGCCGGGAGCAAATCAAAGCAAATCCTCAATGCCTTACCAGTTTAACAGCCCTTGCTTCTATAAGCACATCCTACTGAAAGAACAGAACATGGGAGCAGAAATGCTCCGGCTCTGGAGCAGCTTTGCTAACAGTTGCTGACCCGTCCGCGCACCTGACACTGCCTTGACAGCCATCTTCAAGCTGCGGGGCATCCAGCTGGGATCTGCTTCAATTTGAAAGCACTCGCCGCTCAACGTTGTTATGCACACTTCCATGGCGGAGGACAAGTCAGTGTCTAGCCAACCCGTTCAGCCAAGTTGAGCCGCCCCGAACCCGCACGGTAGCAGCCCTGCGTGCAAGGGCTCGAGCAGGGGAATCATACATTTTGAAGGTTAGGACTCAAGGTCTGGCATGATGTTATGGTTTCCAGAAGTCTGAGCGTCCCAGCTATCTTAACCAGTCATTGCAGAACGGAGTTCTGAGAAAGCGCATCAGATGAAACGTCCAATGATATGTGTCTTCAGAAGCTTCCGGTTACTAGCCCTATTCAGCCATGCAACATGCTAGACCAGTCTGCGAAATGGGCGCCGGGCAAGAGTGCGGGAAAGGCACTGATCAGTAGCCCCACCTATCACATTCTATCTTATCTTGACCCTGCGTTAGCCGCCCTTATGTCAAACATGCAAGTCTCAGCATATCTTAATATGCCGTTTCAAGCTTTTGCAGCAATCTTTTGGATGCTCCTTTGCCAACGCCGTTTTGTGTAGTCCCAAAAGCAGTAAGTCTTGTGATGCTGGAATGCCTGTCAGCTCAGCTGAGCTAACTCCAGCGCAAAGTGAAGAGTGCAAAACTTCCAGGCGCTGAGAGCTCATCCTGCAGGAGGATTTGATACTTCATGCCGGAAGTGACTTATGCACGTGCACCTGCGAAGAAGGATCTCCGTCATGTGCCAGAGACTCCCACGCATGTAGGCAGCGACTGCGGAGTCAAAGCTCAGCGCTGCAGGTCGCATTGCATGCTCCACAATCCTTGACAAAGCAGAACTTGCTTACATGCGCCAAGCTGAAGCCAGCTGGCATGCTATTGTGCCCCAACCTTGACAGCAGGATCGTTGCTGACGTCCATGGTACTCCAGGTACTTGGCTTGATACCTGCGCAGCACTCCAGGTAATGACGTCGGCCACCTCACAAGCTCATGACATCACATGGCAGAGCTGCGCAGAGCTTTGCCGCTGGCTGAGCTGGCCTGGTCTTCCACCGAGGCCCGCAGCAACGAGAAAGCCACTTGCCAGGCATCGCCACGGCATGACATCACCACCGTGTTGCGAGTGACCTCCGTTGCTGAGACCCGAAGGACGTCGAAGGAATGGAGGATCATCAACGCCTGGACCCACTCCGCGGCCATCTCGCACGACTTGAGGACTGAGCTGAAGCTTCGCGTCGTGCGCATGTGTGAGCTGCCATTTGTGATGGAGCCGAGGGCGCGTTGCCACAAGGGCCCGCAGGCATCGCAAGTCAGGACACTCGTAGCCTGGTCTCAGGCACAATACTGCTTTTTGCTTGCGTGGAATGATCGAAGATAAGCAGCCTCATTTCCGTGCAAAGCCCTGTGGCGTATGTTCCGATGGAGCGCCCCTGCAGCTTGCCAGTGGCCAGCCTGCAGATCAGGCGCAGTAGTTAACGCAAGCACCACATCAAATTATCACCATGTACCAAGCTACAAGGCTGGCAGGGCCTGTGAAAAGGAAGCAATTCCGAGGTTGTAGCTCACATGGTTGGTCAGTCGCTGCAGGTGCAACGTCGCCAGCAACCCCAATGCTGATGGCCACGCATCAGGGGCGGCGCAGCGCATTGCAGTATTGAAGCCTTGTCTCCAAGACATCAACCGGCTGTGGGCCTTCTGGCTTGTTGCAACGAAGTTGCAATAAACACCAGCCTGTATCAACGAGTTCTGGGCCCCCTTCAACCTCAGCTCGAAGCCTGACCTTTGGCCTTGCAGCTTGTGTTCCGACAACTGCCGGTTGCTCTGGCAATGGCTGCCACCAACGCAACCTCAACTTCTGAAAAACAGGCATAGTAGCATCACAGAAGCTCGTTGCCACTGGCCGGTGTCTCGAAAGGAGCTCAACAAGGTGCAGAGAGAGACAGGATCAGGAGCAGCCTCAGGCAGCTGCCACAAGCAAGCCAATAAGTCGGGCTCACCGAAGCTACGCGGCCTTACCCCTCTTCAGCCCACCGCAAGCTTAGCAAGCCAAAGGGCGTCTGAGTCACGCAAAAGCACTGCGTACATATGCACCACAAGCTTCCAGACATGGCTTCTGGACATGATGCTGCTGAAAACCATCTGGTTGGATCGCACCTCAACTCGACCACCACAAGGCCGTGCATGCGACTCAGTTGACTTGGGACGGATGTGGACGCCAGACACTACAAGCAGGTTTACGCCTCCTCCCGAGCCAAGCGCTGCAATAAATCCAAACCCGATGGCCATCTTTCCTGACCATACGTTTTAGCTGCTGCGCCATATGTGACCTCAAAGCCAGATTGCGAAGAGTTGACACCGAGAAGTCTCGTCCGCTGTAGCGCTATCCCCACCCAGGCCTCGTTCATGCGAACTTGACCCCATGACCTGCAGGACAAGGTGTGAATTTTGCCATGCCCGGCTTGCATACCTGCTTAGCCATGCAGAGGAAGTTGCATGCACTGAATGCAGTGAAGGATGGCCAGCTGCCATGGGCCATGTCGGCTGGCATGTGTCAGAGCAGTGCACACGAACGCATCAGTCCTCGCAACGGCTCTTCAAGTGCTCTCAGCATGCAGTCCGAGGCTCCCACATCTGATGCAACTTTTAAAGGGCTCAAAGCACTCTTATCAATCAAGAGTCTTCACGCCGGAGTGAAGTAAATCTGTCCAAATGTCAAGAGCCGTCGTCCAGTCATGAGCTTGTGAAATTAGCTGACAGTACTGGACTGCATTGAGCATACCGCGACCTGCCATGAACATAGCTGAAGAAACCGACAATAGTGTATGCACTTTGATCTCTCGGTGATCGGTTCACGAGGCGAGCCTCCACAGCCTCTCCCGCCTTTTGCAAGCTTTCCGATCAAGGTGACCTCGGCGCAAGTTATAAAAAGCGTTGCGACGGTTGTCTTGCTTCGGAAAATTACAGCCTGAACTGGAGTGCCATGCTGTCACTTCTACTTCTTCTTCCTTTGGAAGCTGTGAACTTGCGGGGGGGCGGGGGGGAAGTAGCCTGCCGCATAGCATGCGCACGGACCGCTGCCCTGAAATGTCACCAAGGCCGGGCCACGCCAATGAAGCTGACGAAGCTTGCTCTCCTCTCCACACCTCACCTGTGGAGGTCTCCTCCGTTCGCTTGCCAACGCAGAACGCAGGACTGGGGAAGTCAAAGGACAAAGCTTCTCTGGAAACTCCTCCTGCCGATGTGGGTTGACATTATTGTTTGTGGCGAAGGTCCTGTAGGGGAATGGCTGGCATGAATTCTCTCAAAGCTGGCCATCTAAAGACACGCAATCTTTTCTGCCTCCAAAGCATCCATTGGCCACGCGCTTCATCGGTTTGACGGCTTACCTATAGATCCTATATATAGCCCCGTTGTGGTAAGAGCACTCTCCTGCTTGCTACAGACGGGCCGTCTTGCCTGAATGGACAGTCACTCGTCATAAAAAGGCTAAGACTTCATTCTGCATTTGATCATCTTTGCTGCTTTGGCTTGGACTTTCATCTTTGCTCCAGCAGAAATCCAAAGGCTCCCAGTTCGGGCTCAGGAAGAACCCTTTTGAAGAGTTGCCCTAATATCTTGCGAAGGAGTTCCACGCAAAGCTTCGTCCGCTGACATGCACACAAATCAAGCCTGCTGCAAAAAGCTGCCATAAGGTTCACCCCACCAGGTGTCACTCGCGCATGGCCGCATGGATTTTGGCCAAGAAGCCGTCTGTACATAACAAGAGACCGTCTGTACATGCGTCGCGAAAGAAGACGTCTGCTCATGCAGCCCTTTAACCAAAGGCCTGCGCAAACATTGCAGCTCTGCAAGCATCGACTTAGTTGATGCTGCAGGCCCAGACTCAGAAGGTGGGTACAACAACATGACACACAGCTCTATCGGAACTCATGCTCCAGAGGAGCACTTGTTGCCAGCCTGTGTACTTTGCGGTACATGCCTGCAGGGATGCACCCTGCAGGTCCTTAAGCAGACTCGCCCAGGACGCAAGTTGAAACCGTCAAAATAACATGGGCCTCGCCCAGATGAAGCTTGAAACAAGGAACGGTGCCCTGGTCCAAGAAACGTCAACCTGTGAACTAGGCGTTCTTCTGCAACATAGAGGCTGCCAAAGACGTGCATCCTGAGCCTCTTGTGGCGTCATGGTGGCACACCTCTGTTCAAAAATCTTCTACAAAATTCTTCCGCAGATTAATTACCTTTCAAAGGCGGAAAGACAATGCGGAGAGAAATCAACACCTGTCGTAGGGAGAGCCGCGAAATCAGCTAAGCTGATTGCAGCACACGGGCCCTTCTTCAGACCCAGCAAGCACAAAATTGGAAACAACTCATCGTTCAAGCGCTCGTAACGCGCATGATGATCCTAAGGATCCACTTCAGGCCCCCTCAAGCTTCAAAATTTTTCGAGAACATTTTGGATAGAGTTGCCACGAGCTTGTTTTTTGGCTCGGGCTGTGCATCCGCAATTTTCTCCTGGTCCATGAGCAAGCGGAGCACCTCAGTCATAAGCGTGGCCAAATTTCTGAGAAGTTCAGCAAGCCTCCAAGTCATGCTTCACATGCTCTGGGCGTGACACTTCTTCTGGGCTAAAGGCAGCGTCCTGATGGCTGTCATTGAGGGCTACGGCTACAGGTTGTGACCAAGATAGGCTCCCTAATCATCATGTTAGGAGCGTGCACAGACTGATCCATCTTCCTGTATAGTAACAAGAAACCTGAGAGCATTTTTGAGTTAGGGGCTCACATGTCCAACATCAGCATCACACGCCAGCGTCTTGACCGTGCCTGCAAGTGCTCATTGACGATGTCGCTGACCGTCAGACCCATCTCCTGCAACCGCAACAGCGCAGACTGCAGAAAAAAACGCACGGCCCAGGAATCGCAACTCATAGCGTTTGACCATACAAGCAATAACGTTGTGGCGCTTCATGACTTCACTGACTAAAGCAGGTGACTGCCCAAGCATGCCGTCCAGCTGTTCACGGTGCCATGGCTGCTGCATGACGTACTGGCGTGCGAACCTTTGCGTTATGTGGTGGTGATGGGCCTATGTCGTCCATCTTCATTATCTTTCCAGTTCAGGTCAAGTCTCGTATGGATCACTTTGCTGACCTGCTCCACATCTTGTCGCTTCACGAGCTCCAAGCGTTCTGCTAAGCCTGACCGTTTAACAATCGGAGACAAACGTAGCGACGTAGCATGTCGCGTGAAAGCTTGGCTCAGCACCGAAGCTTCGCTGCACCTGCGTCCACTGGAGCTCGTCATGGGCCAGTTCCTACTCAAAAAGCATCTTGAAGGTGGACCCAACAACCGCGAAATCTCAGCGCCTGGGTTTTCAGCAATGCCAGTAGAACCTGCTCCTTGGGAACGCGCTCGAGCTCTGCATGAAAGGCAGTTCCGTCCGGAAGTCGTTGCCATTCAGGCCTAAAGCCCCGCTGGACGCACTTCATCCCAACTGTATGAACGCCAGCTCTGTGGGCCGGACTCCAAGTCGTTGCCACAGCCATCGTCGCGTGGGACCAGTTCGTAGTACATGTTCCTCACTGGCACAGGTGGGCAGCATCTGACAGCATGACTCGGCCGATGGAAGGGGGTGCTTGCTCGCAAGCACCTAATCCAGCACAACTCAGCAGTTGCAGTTGTTCAGCCATGTTTCCGATCGCGCTCGCTTTTGCGTGGAGCCTTTCAGAAACTTGAATGCAACGACGAGATGCCTATCACAACAGCATACAACAGCTACACGTAAAGGCTACGGCTACGATGATCTGCAACGGCAAGCTCAAGTTGCACTTCAAGCTGAAGCAACAAGAAAGCTGTCTTTTGGTGATTGAGGCGTCCGCGCCTCCAACCAAGCGAAAAAACGATTGGCCTCACCCGTGCTGCCAGCGCATGAATGAAAGCCTCGGCTGAAGCCGGCAGTCACGAAACAAACGCAAACTCAGGATGTCCGGCACAAACTCTTTCACAGCACTGCACTGTGCTATGGAAGTTGCACAGCAGCAGCTCGCCAAGCACAGGCGTGTTCATACCTCAAAGTTGCAAACAGCTGACACGCTCACAGAAGATGCAAGTGTGCTTGGCAAACATCTCCATCTCGCACAGCACACTTCTGTCCCACAACAGATCAAGCAGTCGAGGCTTTTCCGCGCTGAGCAGGGAGAAAATGTGACATCTATTTGGCATTTTTGAGGGTGGACGAGTCCACGAAACAAGTATCAAATTGGGCAATCAAGGAAACTTCAAGAACAAGGCAATGATGTCATAGGCTTATGGCTGAGCTCCCGGGTCGAGGCTGAAGCCGTAGATGGCGCTGAAAAGCACAAAGGCACCTAGGACCGGGAAAGCGATCTTCAAATCGACGCCAGGGGCCTCGGCTACAATCATCTCCTTCTGGTCCACCACATCAATGGAGCCATCACGAGATCGGCAAAGCAGGCGGTACGTGTACTTGCCGGGAGCCACCATGGAATCCGTAAAGGAATACTCGTGGCCACTGTAGGGCTTGGCCAGAAGCTGCGGATTCTTCATGTTGTCGTAAGTGGCAATCTCTTCAAAGTTGGTGCTGCCCGCGGGCTTTCGCTCGATGATGTAGCCTACCTTAGTGCCCGGGACGCCGCCAGCCCACTGCAGGAGAACGTCGTCATCGATGAGAGTCAGATCGACCTCGCTGTCATCATACTCGGTGTCCACATCGCCACCTGCAGGGTCTCTGATGCCGTTCTTCTTCAAAGTCCTGCGAGCATCCTTCACCAGCTGGTCCTCGTCAACCGGCTTCCAAGGCACAACAAGGTTCTTTGGATCGACAACACCTCCGATGTAGTACTTCTTCCTCTGGGTGTCGATCTCAGCATCCAGAGCCATCTTGTACTCCTCGGGAGACAGCTCAATGTCCTGCTCTACCTTGAGGAACTCGAGCATCTCTCCTTCTCCCTCAGCTTCTGCCTCTCCTTCCGCTCTGACTGTCGTCAGCCGCCTCCCGGGGCCACTTCGGCTTTGAACACTAGGGGAGACGAAGGCAGGCACGAGGAAGCGCACCGCGAGCAATGCAATGGCAAGCTTCAGGAGAAGCGGGCGTCGGTTCATGCCGGATGTGGCCATGGTGCTCGAGGCAAAGATGTCTTCTCTTTTATGCTGGGCCGGTCGAGCCGAAACTGCGATTGTCCGCAACATGCTACATGCCCTAGCAAGCTGGCATGATAGGTCTGACAAATTGCATAGGCGATGTTTGCGACAAGCCTGATACATGTCTCTACTGCTGGCATGGGAGTCCTGAGGCCACTGCGGTTGCGCATGTGCGAGTTTCGACGGGCGAATCTCCAAACGTCGCTCTTTGAAGTCTCTCCGTGCTTGTGTGGTAAGACACCAGGCAGGAGAACCCCCATGTTGATGGCACAGTCCTGCAGGAAAAGCAGCCCCCAGGCCGACATGCTACATGCAATCGTCTTCGTCTGCCAGGTGAGGCAACATTAAGCAGCAAAGCAGACGTCAACCGCCGGGAGTCCCGACGAAGCCGATTGACTGCGCCGTCTGGCGGATTCTCCCACTTGTAATTTTCATCGCAGCCTTGCGTCTCCTGGCGTTTTGGCTCACACGCACGGCATGTACGTCATGTTCAGCCTCAAAGAGCAGCAGGCTACTATCGCCCGCGCTCCTTTCTTTCCTGGTTGTTTGCCTCTAAGAGCTTGCGCAGCTGTTGGCTGCATGGCAAATAGAGCTCTCTGGCAAGAGTGGCAACTTTCTGAATTGATTTGCTCAGAGCAGCTTCATCTGCATCTGCCAGCGTCGACTTCTTGTCCAAGTCATTGATGACCTGTGCCAAATCAAGGAGGAACAAGGAAGCAGCAGTCCTGTTGCAATGCAGGCCCTGCCTTCAAGGCTTGGGCAAGGCCAGCCACTTTCTCGGGCATCAGTGAATTGGGTATTCCGGAATGCTTGAGCAGTTGGGCCTGCCATTGGATGAAATCATCGATTTCAATGAGTATGTCCTTTCCGCCGTCGTTTAAGTTCTCGTACTCTTCCTCTGCAGCACGCACCCATACATCTGCTTTCTTCTGCAAAGCCACAGGGGTGTGCTTCAAGGCATTCGCGATGATGCGATAGGTGCGGACAAACTGGTCCTTGGAGATGCCGCTGTGGTCCGGATCATAGCACTCGTAAAGTGGCTGCAGGGTGTCTCCCAGATCATAGGTTTGGAGCCATCCATCAGGACTGAAAGTCATGGTGGCGTGTACGTTGGTGAGCCAGTCTGCAAACTCAGGCAAATCCACTTGCTCATCGCTGTTTTTATCGATCTCCTGGAGCAACAGTGCTGACTGATGATCATCCCAAGCAAATGCAGCGGAGAGATTTTGAGCAATGCTCTTGAACTCATCCCTGTCAATCCGGCCGCTGTCATCTGTGTCCAGGCAACCAAACCAATCTTTAATCACATCGCACCTGCAGACGTTGATGAACGTTGGTGGAAGAGCTTCTATGGAGACTTAGACTAAATTAGCTTCCCGGGTGCCCTGTTTGCGCTCCACATCTGAAAGAAAACATGTGTATGACTGCACGGATCAGTCAAGACTCCAATACGCAGCCTTGCGGGAAGCTGGGCTCATCTCATCCGCGCAGTCTGGGCATGTTGACTTGCTGGCTGCTGATGGACTCGGCGAATGATCAAAGGATAATCGTGGTGAAGCCGGCGGTCGAGGAGACAAGTGCATACTGCATGTACCACTCCCACCAGCATCCGGCGTCAACATAATCGGAAACAAAGGTGCGGTTGAGCTGCGAGCCCAATGCATGTTGTCTGGCGCACTCTGAGTACTGACTTGACGGTCTGAAAATTGCGCGCTTACCATATTCAACTCCGTGTCAGAGCCACTGTCCTCATCGGCAAGCACCCCGGCACACCTCTTTGACCACGAAGGTCGCCGAAGCTTGGGATTCGTCGCCAGGTTTGATGGTGATAACTTTGTCGAAGCCACTTGCTTCATAGCCGGCTCAATCGTTGGAAGCTTCGACAACGCTTTTGATTTCTTTGGTGATTTGTCGCCAGGAGAGCTCCTCTGGAAGGACTTCCTGCGCACCGTGGTAGGTGGCGTTGGGGATACCAAGCAATCAAACCTGAGCAATGCGACCAATCAAAAAGTGAAACGGTTTATGCAGCCTTGCACATGCAACAAGTGGTGTAGTATTTCCTAGGTCTGTGAGAGGATGCACCTAGAGTTTTTCCAGCACACGATTTCGTGAAAATTGGCTTCAACAGCTCCTGCGCCTTCCCTCTTTAACTGTCTTTTGCTAACGAATGGCCTGCTGTGGTGCAACTTCAACATCCCGAGTCAAAGCTGCCGACGCAGTTCAGAGAAGGGGGATCTTCAAGTGCAACGAGACAATTACACTAAATACTTGCGCGCTTGATATTGCTGTTATTGCTGTTGCGTTCAACCCGCGAGCCGGGAAACTGGCGATCTCCCAGGATGCTCCGGGCTTCTCTCTGTGCGGCCTCGATGAAGTGTTTCTTTTCCGCCGGATGCTGCTTCAAGATCGCATGGAACCTTAGAATGCATTAGCAGCTTTGGCACTCATAGTGCACGCTGAAAATGAGGTGGGCAGTGCCCGGAACGCCAAGCAATGCCAGGACTACAGAAGAAGCGTTTCAGTATGGACAGTGTGTCCTGCAGTCATGGGAAGCCGTGACTTCTTGCAGCGACTGCCAAGCAGCGAGGATGATGGCAAGGTCAAACACTCGCACGCGGCCGAGGCTTGCGCTGAACGCATTCGGTGATGGACGTTCAGCAAGATGCAAAGGCCCAAGATGGCACCAGCGTTCCACTTGTGCATCGCAGTGCCATCTTCTTGTACTAGCTCCACCTCTCCCGACTTCAGGATGTAGAGCCTGATTCTATTCTCACATGCTACTTACAAGTCCTCGCTCCACCAAGAAATTGCTGAACCCAAAGGGCTTCCGGCACTCTTCGCCCTGGAGCCATAACTTCCTTGGCCGAGTGCTGCAGCTTGTTATGCAAGCCTCTCCTGCACTTTCTCTAAGGAAATCCTGCAACAACCAGCCGTTGTGTTTCCAAGTATGCGCCCATCAGAGGGAAGCACTTTCAAGAGTTGGATGAGTGCAATGCGAAGCAATTTGGAATCTTGCGGAGTGTACGTGCTACCGCTACTTTCTGGTGGTTTGCCTGTAGCCATGTCAGTCAAGGCTCTCACCAGGCTGGTATGCTTCTGTCTGCGCAACCAGAACCATTTCGGAGACAAAGCTAGGACTGCATGATGCCTGACGTTATCTGCGCAGGGTCATGAATTCAATCTGAAGGCTGCGCTACATGTTGGTCGGGTCAATAGTTTGGCCAAGGAACGAAGAGTGGGGTCTTCAAAAAATCCTCTTCGGTCAGATCTAGTTCATCAATGCACTGCTTTATCTTGTCATTGTGGCTTTCATCAGCAACATGTGCATGTTGGCTGACCGGTCCTGTTGCAAAGACACACGCAAGACGTGAAACAAAAGCATCTGCTACGACTTGCTGTTGCTGAAGTCCTTCTTGGTGCATTCGTCGGCCTTGGCTGAAAGCTACACTGGCAAGCAGCATTGCACCAGCACATAAACAGAAGCTCTTTCATTATCGATCTGCTTGCAATTCAACTTCAATTGATAACTTTGACTTGCTGCCACGGCTCACCAAGTCCCAGGATCCTGTTCAACCTACTTTCTCAACTGAGCCGATACACGCTGCACAAAAGCTGCGAATCAGCGCTGGTCGCATGCAACGTGACTGAGAGGCCTCTTGCCTGGCGAGCTCGGCGGTTTGCGCAAGGCTGAAAAACTTGTCTCAAATGTGTTACGGCCCTTCTTTTTGCCGATCTTTCTTTGGCCACTTTAGGCCTCGTAGCATTTACAGGCGCTTGTCTCACTCCTTCAGAGTGGATGCATGCGCTCGCGACTTCGGCGTCCATCAGTCGACTAGGAGAACTGGGCTTGTCATCGCGTGGATGGTTTGCCGTTTCAGGTTGGGAGCCTTGCTTCGGGAAGGCGGCGTGAAGTTCTGGTTCGGCTTGTGGTCTTCATAGCCGCCAGGGTTTCTGGAGGGCCCGTCTGTGATAGCTGCCACAGGTCGAACGTCTGACAGCGCCGGGATGAGTGGATTTGGCCCAACGCTGAGCGCATTGGCTAGGGCCTAGGCCACTAATCTATTCTGTCATAGCATGTTTTTTTCGCACCGAAGCACTTCAGGCAAGGCACTGTCATGGAGCTTTTGAGCTTATCAATGCCTCTCATGCAGAAACATGCACACAGCTCAAAGTACTCCTGCACTAAACCGGCTTAAAAGGCTACTAGAAAACAAGGAGGCTCTTCCTCCAAAAGCATTTACCAATGCAACAGAAGCTCTGCACTGCTCGTCCTCGCTGGACTGCAGCGGCATTGCATCTGACAGCAGCTGCACCTGACGATCACAAGGAACCCAAGGAACCCAAGGTTCCCAGCTCTGCCAGTTCTGCCGGCCTTTTTAGCAATCTCCCGTCGAAGCGCCAGTGCTCGCCTTTGATGACAACATTCCACTGTTCGGGTTTTCCTCTGCCAATGCATCGCACATGAAATGCGGCATGCCCCGTGCCTTTAGCAGATGCTAGAATTAGCCGCCCCTTCAAAACCCAATGAGGCCAAATGAAGCCGACTTCGACGTGCCGCGTCGCTGGTAGTAGCGACGGTAGCTCCTTTGCATATCTGGCCGCTGGGCAAAGGCGCTTGTTGGCCGGGACTCCTGGTTCCTGCAATCGGACAGACATGCGGCACCCATCGGACCCAACATCTTGAGAGAAATGATATGCACACAACTGCAGTGCTATGCGGACCCACCCTTTGCCTCAACTGTTCGAATAATCTTCCTTCAAAGATTTGGTGGAATTGCATGACACTCTCCTCGGTGGATGCCCAGCGTTCTTGTGTGAAGGAGGGTAATTTAAAAAAGTCACGACAACAAAAGCAGCAGGATGCATAAAAACTGATGCAGTTGCTGACCGCCTCGCAGCAGCCATATGATTTTCCACCCCCAAGATCGAATCGGGTCGAACTCATGACCAGTTGGACAAGATACGGTGCATTCACGAGACAAGCGTCAACAAAGTGATCAACATGTAGCATCAATCTTGCGAGGGCTGAATGAAGAACTCGACGCGAGCGAAGAGTTCCAAGTTGCATGCAAACACCTTCCAGTGGGACCAGGATCGTCCTGTCAGGTGTAAACACTCGGAACGCAAGCTGCATCCAGCATCCAGGCATCTGTCAGTGTGTTCTCATGCGCCTTCGAACATCTAAGAGGCAGGCCAGGTCTTCCTGAGCGGAGGAGTTGGCGGGAGAGAGTGACAGGTACCGGTTGAATGATGCCTCTCAAGTGAATCAAGCAGCCGCCATCTGCAGAATGATAGCAGTGAGAGCGTCGGAGCCCGGTACGGGTGGTCCACTCATTACCGCTGTGTCCAAGAGAAAAACGGAAGCCAGGCCACTTCGTGACCTGAAGCAACTGATTATGAGCCAACAGCGCAAAAGGTCTCGTGCACTGCGAAGCAAGTGGCCAGTTCCGAGCCGTCCATTTCGCCCGCACTAGTTCTATCTCTGGACCTCGAGACACGCCACCAGTAAACCAAAAACAGTTCAGACATGCATGGCATCCTCCTGCCGAGCAGCCCAAAGCCGTCACGTTGGACGAATCCTCTCCAATGAAGCTCTCAGCTGAGAAGGAAGACGTCTCCGCGGATTGCGCTCGGCGCCTGGCAGGCATGGAGCACGGCCAAAATTCACCGATCCGTCTGTAAGGAAATGCCTTGAAGACAGGTCCGCTGTAGACTTGCTGGAGTCCTTACGTCTGGTCTGGCACTTGATGTCAGGCAAGCTGCACGCGCATATTGGCTACTCTCTGGCTCCAGCCCTCAGGCCCCGTAAGAATTCTGACTTCCTCTGCCTATCAACCCGGATCCTGTCTTCTTTTGCACATATGTGCTCATGTTGCCTTGCTTATACTGGCTCTCTCAAGTGCCACATACTTTCAACCACATTGTTCTGCCATCTTACACTAGTTACCTCAGTGGTTGCCCACACTCCCCACTTTGCAGCCTTCAGCTGGGCTGCACGTACACTTCATTTGATCAAGCCGAAAGCGTTCCCAGCCAATGCTGCAGCACATCTTTTCGCGTGGTTGTCTTCAGGAATGCCAGACATCTTCTCAAACAGTAGCCTGTGGGTATATCGGTACAACTTTGATACCTGACCCGGTGGCTGTCAAGGCTTATATATCGTCTTCTACTGTCTTCTGGCTGTTGCGAGACCTCAAGAGACTCCTAAACGTTCCAGGCAAGCTTGGGAGGAGGCAGGGAAAGCCTTCAGCCGATGGTGTCTTGTTTGATGTTTGATGGAGCCTGCCGAGCCCACCTGCAAGTGATAAATGCAGCCCTTCGACCCCTTGAGCCAGCAGATCCCAACAGTTTGTGGGTAGGGGAAAAGCCTAAAGTGGGCCCAAGCCTTCTGCCTGCTGGAAAATGATGGAAAATGTAAGTAGCTTCAGGTTCCGTGAATGTATTTTGGCCTGAAGCCGTCTGCCAAGTGCTCCTTTGAAACAGGCAACCGGATGAATCAATGAAGAGATTTCTATTTCTCAACTGCAAGGTCAGCGGCGGAGTGGCCACGAGGGCGACCAGCTTGCGCGGCAAGCGCTTGCCCTGGAGCTGGCAGCTATGGGACGTCAAGCTAGCACACTTCTGGGGTGACCAGGCAAAAGTCTAACAAAAACGCTTATGCCCACCTGAGAGTGGCTCCTCGGCAGCAGGCTCCCCAAGAAAGTCCCACAGGTTGCCGTCCTTGAAGTCACCATGGATGCAGGGTGCTGGTCATGTAGCAGCTGTGAAGCTGTGAGCTATATGCATTCCCAGAAAGCTTGACAAGGCACAGCTGCATCAGCCGCGAAATCGTCCACTGTTGGCAAGTTTTGTACCTAATTTGCCAACTTTCACTCACTTACAAGCATCCTGGCCAAGCATGCCAGCTGCTGGGCTTTGCGCCAGCACATTCTTCTCTGGCGGCTTGGCACCGATGGCCAACAAGTGCGCATCAATGGCCTTTTGGGAGGGGTTCCAGAGGCTGGTCCCGAGCAGTTGGTTTTGGGGACTGCCACGGGCCCGTCCTCCAGAAGAGGTTGAGCTTGGCTCGCTAGATCTTTCCTGTTGATCGTCCTCTTGTACTCCTGAGACTCCCATGGAACCCGAGCTGGGTTTCAGACAAGTTTACGATCTACGCCTTCCGAGATCCCCGCAGGCCCAGGCCCCAGCAGAATGGCGGCTTTCGGAATTGAACGCAGACGGTTCTCTGCTGCCAGCCTAACCCAAGTACGCTGCACAACGCACTTGCATGCCCGTGCCCCGGACGATCAGGGCACTGCCAACGCAAACCAAGGCCAGGACTGCGAATAGTACCTGCACATCTTGCCTGCATGATGTCTGAGCTGGTGTTGGTTCGAAACACTAACAGAGCCCATGGGCTGATGCTGTCAGATGCAGACAAGTTGCACAGGCTGGCTTTCTCCTGGTAGAAAATGAGCCAGCTACCTTAGCTGTTTGCTTGCTTGCTCACTTGTTAGAAGTCTCACAAATCACCTTTCCTCAGATGATGCCTGCCAAAGCGCCCAATGGCAGGAACCGATCCGGATCGCCCTGTCGCAAAGCCGCATCCAGTAAGCGGCCCCAGTCGGTACTCCAGAAAACCTCACCTGAGCTTCAAGCCTCTGCTCTTGGCGCCTGACTCCAGCGCACATGATAAGGTGCCGACCACTATGGCCTTTGATATTCAGTCTGTGTCGTTCGAGGAATTCGATGCCAAACTCTGCATGTGCGCCAACAATTTCCTGCCAAGGGAGAAGGCAGGAACAGAAATGCACGTGACGCAGCACCAACCTCATGATGCTCCATGGGGCCGAGAAAGCATATTCCAGCTGCCTCCACTGCTGCAAGAACTTCAAGATTTGCTGCATGAACATCACAAGGGCTTCTCCGACAGAAGCTACTATCTACACAGCGCCGGAGCCCCAATGCTCTGTGCCTGGTCTAGCAAATGCTGAAAGAGCTCATTGAGCTGTCCCAAAAATACGCTGCAGTGGGACTCGGATGTCTCAGCCTGCACGCTGGCTTGATAAAAGACATTGACCCTGCTAACTAGGGCACCTTATACGGTTTGGCATTGCAATGGTATTGCGAGCCACTGTCTGATGTGTGTTCGAGCGAAACACAGACCATATACTTTTTTGAGAATTACGGTGCCTAAAGCTTGCAGTACACTTCAGCTTCAAACGTGCGCACCTAGAGGAGCTTGCTACTCGTTACTACTATTTGGCTTCGGAAGTGAGATGTTGAACTGGCTTTGGAATCTGGAAGATCCCGAGCAAAGTCAAACTTTGTCCCTTGGGCAGCCGCGCGCCATGAATAAATACTGGCGCATTCTAATCCGACTACAAAGGCCTTCTCCAAGATGTGCTGCAACTTGCCCAGGCAGTCATGAATACGCACAAGCACGGTCACAAACGTCTCCTGCGGCGGCTTTGGAGCATCAAAGTGTTGGGGTCTGTCTGATCAATTATTGGTGTCGCCTTCCGCTTGCTTCGGATTAGCCCCCGCGGTTCTCCCAGAATTTTGGTCCGGGTGGCACCATGCTCACTTTCCGCCCTGAGCAGTTTGCTGCGACAATGATTTCGGACTCTGTGCCTCTGTGCTGAGAAGGGGGCCATCTGTCATGGAAATACAAAAGGTGCGCCACAAACCTTACTTGCTTAGGATGACACTTGTGGCAGAATCATGTCACAAGTAGGCCCGCAAGGACGGAAGTCTCTGCTGGGGAACTCCTTGTACCGACACACGACATAGAGGTCCATCTCGCGATCACCATAGTGTCGGTGCTCCCAGGCCCACTCTTTCAGCAGCTCGCAGGCCAAGATGCGAGCATTCACCCGGGTGTAAGTCAAATATCCCTTGCTCTCCTTTGTTGAATGCAGCACCAGAGTAATATCACCCAACGACAACAAAAGGCACATGTTTGAGGGTCGGCGCTGAGCGTCCAGATACGCCATAACCCAGTGATATATCTTCGTAACAGCTGATTCATGTGTGAAGCTAGAGATGGTGTCCTTCTTGATTGGCACGAATTTGGCGATCTCCTGCAAGCCATCCGTTGTTAACTGTTCATGTAAACAATGCTCCACAGCGGCTTGCTTCATTCATGTCAAGTTGAAGCTTGAATCTAACGCCCGCGCTGTGTGTCCAAGTTAATTTCAGCTCTATCAACCACACACCAGCGACAAGCCTAACTGATCTGTCCTCTTGCTTGAGGTCGGCCAATCGGCTAATCGGCAAAGAACTGACCAACGGACTCTTCCAGGAACCTTCCCTGCCCTGTTCGTCTAGGGATCCGCACAGATGCAGTCGAATGAGCTCCTGGGCTGGGCATGAAAATAAGTGGCCTTCGACATGCGTGACTTGGCGCTGCCAAGTATCCGCCACCACCTTCACAAATTCGGTATAAACTCAAGCAGTCAGCACTAGTTGGAAGGATTGAGGTGCAGGCGCCCTCCTCATTCTTGAAGGACATGTGCTGAGCTCCATGTGTCAAATTTTCACGCAGATCCGACGACAAGGGGAACGTGATGCAAGCTTGTCGCTTCGGTCTGTGAACAGGGTCTCTGTCGCAGGCTTTGCTTGCTGCCGCAAAGGCTTTTAGAGAAAGACTTGGCACTTGGAGTTTTGCAAGTTACACCAGCGTAAATCTTATTACGCCGCACCACGGCAGACACTGTTGAGGCTGGACACACACCACAACAGCTGAGATATCACCCAGGCAGTCCCCAGATTGAAAAGAAATCTCACGCAGTTTGAGCCCAACTCAGGAGGCAAGAGTTTTTCTGCACCTCGCTCCAGAGACATGGCAAAACCACACAAAGCCAAACACAATTCGGATCTGCACGCTCATTTTTTCCACTCTGAATTTCTTTCGAAGGTGCCAGCTCTGCTTGCCTCATGGCAGGGCTCAAAACACAAGCACAATCACGGCAAACTTGCGGTAGCAAGGATGCAAGTGGCTTGCCCCTTCCTGCAGTTCTAATTTGTTATTGCAAGCAGGGCACAGGTCATCCGAGGCGTGGCATAAGATCTTCGCACCGCTGCGGAGCAGGGCTGCCTCCACAAGCTCTCTGTCGGCCCTGCAGGGTAGCATAGAGACAGCTGCAGAGCAACTTACGAGAGCGGCATTGAAGCGAGCAACTTTTTGTCTCACCAGCGGCAGACTGGTCACTTCAATGCATGGTTCTCAGCAGCTCACCATTCTTGATATGCGCCGCCAGCCTTAGATGAATGCACAAAAAGGCGTTCCATTCGGGAGGTCGTGACGCTTTCCATTCATGACGAACATTTTGAGTTGAGAGACACTTATTGAAAAGGCTCCCTTCCGAACAGCAAGGGAGTGGCGGTGCTGTTTGAAGGCCACCTACCGGCGGAGTATCAGAGTACCAGCTGTCTATTTCAAGTCCAGTCCAGCCTTGCCTCGCCCAAGTTCAAATCCGAATCATCATCTTTGGGCGGAGGCTTCTTTCGTGCCCCTGTGTGGATGGCCACAAAGCCCTGGGCCGGGACCGTCAGCTTGGCAGTCTTGTCTGTGTCAACCTGACAGCAGGGCCTGAGACTCTAAAGTTTTCCTTCTGTCACGTGAAAAAATATCAAATAGCTCCTGCCTTGATCACCGGGCATCCAATTCCGTCAGACGTGGCAACATCACAGTAGTCGCCTGGCATGACAAGCTTTGACACGAAGTGAAAATTTCCTTGGCGGCTTACCTGGTTCCAGTGGAAGATCCAGACTTACGACCCATTCGTCAGACTCCTGTCGATTGAACGCGATGCACGCCACATGACCTCGATGCCAGGTAAGTCTCTCGGAGCTATGATCCCGTTCCAGGTTTATGCATGCAGCACCCTGCAGCCAGGGGGCCTCGGCAAAAGGAAACGGTATCTTCGCTCAAGGCTGTAAAGTGTGTGACTGGATTGTCAGCAGCGGTCCGCCGCCAAGCCACCATGTTTGCAATGCCGGTCCACCTGGGGAGTCACTCGACAGCTTTCATTTTGCTAGGAGGTTAGAGTTTTCAATATTTCTGATCGTTTGTTTCGAAGGACCGCTTGAAGGCTGAGAGAGCTGCTGTGTGCGCTCATTTTCCGTGCTTCTTCTCGTGCCACGCAGCAGGCAAGAAGAGTCAATGTGTGATGGGCATCTGATGGGACGGCGTGTAAGTTTCTGCCTGCCTTTCCATTTTCATCAGAGCCGAAGATATCGAACATCCACTGCTGAGGCTTGCTGATTTTTGCGCAGCTTGTTTGATGGGTTTGGCGTTTGGCTCATGTTGTGCGGAAATTCCGGGTATACGACCGTGTTTGCAATGGATTGAAAACTCGCCTTTTGGTGCCGGGTCTGAGCGCCGCGTGCTACGAAAAGGCAACGATGTATACTAGGTTGAGACGCCTGTTCTTCAACAACCCCGTGTGGACTCTTAAGTCTTAAGCCTCTTCGTCCTTCAACTCTGCGTGTGACCGCACATCCTTTCTGCAGCTCGACAACGCGGAATTCGAGACCAAACTGTACCTCGGCATCTACATAAACTACATAACACCTGTGGTCTGCCCATCTTGAGCACCAAGCTCCAGACACCAGACACCCTGCCTTTCTCATGTTTGTGCTTGTGTCTTAGCCCTGGCCTGTGCTCGCAGACCCATGGCTGGAACTCCCCGCAACGGAGGTCACCGTCTTCCTTGTGGACTGAAGCTGAAGGCGGGCCTCACTGGCAGGCACGAAACAAAAGATGGCTAGGCCAATGACAGGACTTGTATGCGCGCAACTGCCAGGGAGAAGCATGAACACTCCACAAGCTCCTGAGCATGCAACCTTGGTCGTAGGCACTGAAGTGGAAGGAGCTCATGATCTGAGGATACCCGTATGGATGGGCCAGCATGAAGGCCGTGGCAAGTTGATACAGCCTGCCGGATTTGTATGTCAACTTTGCCGCGTTGCTGCTGTCCTGGCAGGGAATTCAGGCCATCAAAGTTGTTGAAACGTGGACTGAAACCTTATACCTCTGAAATTCACGATCGCTCAAGCCCAATACCGTGAATCCTTGGAACGCTGCGTATCATGGTTGTCCACGAATACGACTGCAGCGGAGCCAGGAATTAGGTCCGCAGATCCTCCGAGCGACTCCAGATTTGACATGCGGCCCGTCTCTGCTATGCTCTGGTCAAGCTGCGGGTAGTAGTTGAACTCAATCACGTCTACCAAATCCACATACAATTCTTCTGTAACAACATCCAGCGTAGGTGCCTTCGAAATCTCAGCGTACTTCAAAAGCTTGTCTGTGTTTTTGACCTTCTTGAAGATCTTTGCGAGATCGTCTTTGGGAATGTGTTTGGCGGCGTCAAGTCTAACACCAGTTACCCCTAGCTCCACGAGGTGGCTCAAGTAGGCTGCTATCTTGTCCTGCACGCCTTCGCACTCGGTGCAGAGATCTGGTAAGCCTTGTAGATCGCAATACTGCACGTTATGAATGTCTGCAAAGTTGTTGACGCCACAATTTCCGGTTGGGTCGAAGGGCTTATGATGAAAATCCTCTGGACCAAAGAGGGGCGTTCGCCGACCACCATATCTGTTGCCAGCGATGCTTGTGCCCTTGCTGGCAGCACAGTGGTTAAGCACTGCATCCACATAGACCTGAACTCCCGCCTTCTTGCAACGCTTCACCATTGAGGCAAAGGCTGCTTCATCCCCCGAGCGACTGGTTAAGTTGTAGGTCACCGGTTGGTATCGAGTCCACCACTCATGACCTTGAATATGTTCTGTCGGCGGAGAGACCTGGACTGCGGCAAATCCCTTTGGCCCCAGCCAGTCCTCGCACTCCCTGGAAATATCTTCCCAAGACCATTCAAACAAGTGAACGAAGGCCGCACTTCGACCCTGTGGTTTTCGGCGTAGTGCGGAGGTGCGCCACACGGCTGGCAGCAAAAGAAACAGAAGGGTGGCAGAAGGCATGATAACGTGAAGTCGCGCTACGGCTCGAGGGTACTCACCGAAGCGCTGCCAGGCACAACCAGGCGCTATTGCCACAGCGTGCCAAGGATATGTTCAGTATCGAACACAGCTACATGATGCAGCTTGGGCCAGAAAGGGCGTCACGTGCACCAAACCTTCGCCTTCTCAGACTGGTGACCTGCGGCCCTTCTTGGCAATGCAACAGCTGCAACTTCTGCGTTTGAGCGAGCAGGCAAAATACTTAGTCTTGAGCGGAGCAAGCCTTAAGGAAGCGGAAGCATACATCAGCATGCCGCCGTTCTGCCTTAGAGCATCTTTAGACAGACTCTGCAAAACCATAGGCTGTATGAGACAGAAGGATACCACAGTGGGCTGCTGCAAACAGGTAGCATGACAGCTTCCATCATGATGTCTTTGTCAGATCCAACCTGCTTGAAGGGACGTTGCTGGACCGGTACTTTCAGAGCGCGCCGCCTTCAGCTCTGCGCCCACATACTCCAGGGCCTCGCAATCCGCACGAACAGCTGCCAAGACAACCTGGCCGAATGCCGTGAGAAAAAACCTGAAAGTGTCGCAAAACCGTGCCGAGTGCTGCATAGTACTTTCACTTTGTAATACCTTGTACAAAAGCGAAAACCGGATAAGGGCGGACCTCCCTGTCAATGCGGAGCCGTGGCGGGGCATGTTGCAGCGCTTTTCCTTGCGATCTGCTGGAAGCTAGCAGTTTCGTCGCTCTACATGGAGTTCGCTGCTTCGTCCTTCATTGCTAACGGCTGCCAGGACCAGCTCCTGGCAGAGTGTTTGACCGTTTAACCTGTCGCCCTACTCAACACAACCTTGGCTTGTCTCAATTTCACTTGCCTTTCCACTTAGGCCAACGAAGCTCATTCTCCCATGCTCATATCAGGCCACGCCCTCGGATCCTTGTTTGATCTCAAAGGCTCCTTAGCTGAAATGGACCTTTCCAGCTGACCCTGCCAAGCGAATCATTACAAAGAAAGACAGCCATGGCCATGGCACGGAGACATGTTGAAGAAGCTGGCCATGGCTCCCCAAGGCTTCCAGCGCCAGTTCCTTGTTAGCGCCTCAAGTCGTTTGGAGTCAGGAGCAATTGGGCCGACATCCCTAAAGCTAATACATGTTCCGGGGCAAGAGCAAGCAGCGCCCATGGCAAGAAGATAGGCATTGGGGTGCTGCATCACTGCAAGCATGACCTCCGCTACATTTTGAAGGTTTGGGCTGCAGAACTGCCGAAGCTTCCGTCCTGTCCTGAACAAAACCCCAGGCTTCAGACAACGCTTGGATCGCTTCGAAGAGCTGTAGTTGCGTACTGCAGCGCATCTGCAGATTGCTCAATAGCCCGCGTCACCTGTTTAGCATTTAAGGGTCCAAGGAAAGAGCTTGCAAGAACCACCGGGAACAACAGGCTGCTAGTCATTGCAGGCGGATAGCAACGTCAACGTCAGCTTGTAGTCGCTGCGATGCAAATTTCAGGAGCTCCCCATTCATCTCGACGACTTTCATCACGGTTTCTGGCCACGTCGTGTGGACGTGCTAAACACAAGGGATGTCTCAAACATTTCAAACCTTCACGCCGCTGCCACCCTTGTCCCTTGCGACACCACCGTGCTAGAAACCCGCCGTGGGTAGGTGGCCTTTGTCATCTCTGGGGCCGTTGGCCGCATGCTGAAAAGCCAGTGAGCTCCTTTCGACCGCCTTGGCTTTGCTACCTGCTTAATGCTTTCTACTTTCACAGGACAGGCATGACAAGTCGCCAGCAATACCACCTCTTTGTCTTCACGCAATGCTTCGCTTGCATACCTTGGAAGCAGCAGCTTTTCCTAGTCTATGACGTCATTCTTGGTCTGGAAAGCAATCTGGCACACACATCTTGGAGTTCGTTGTGCAAGTGTACATTGCCGCAGCTCAGCTGAGGGTTGCCACTGCGGGACTGCTGGTAGGGGTCCGGGGTGAGCATAGAAGCAGGCTCAAACGCATAATGTTTTGCACTGAAATATTCCAGACCAAAGTAGTTCAAACACATTGAGAAACTGCCACTTGTACGAATGCAGTGACTGGGCCGTGGTGCTGCAAAGCGTCCCCATCCTGCTGCACTGCCTGGACACATCTCAAGAGCAGCTGCCAGGCTTGGCTCACTGACCTTTTGATAAAAGTCAGAAGTCAGCCTTCTTGACCAGCTCGCGATCGTGTTTCATCTCTGCTGTGGCAAACTGCAATGCTGACCCGGTCTGCTGAACAGCAGCTGCCACGACATCGCGATCGCCCTCATGCAATACATGACTGCACATACCTTGGGAAACCGCGGCAGAAGCCAACCTCCCAACATTGCAACTGCTGGTGAGGCGGCCTGCCAAATTTGCTCCAGATCGTCCTTAGATTGCATTCAGATTACAGGCAGTGTCGTCACCATCCCGAAGGACACAACCAAGCCTGAATATCTGAAGCCTTCCGGATAACCACAAAGTGTCCAAGCAGTCTGGGTCGTTTTGCACAGCTGCAAGGACGATCTCCTGTCATGCAGACAGACAGCGCTCTGCCATGTGTGAGTGGGCTCTTCCCTTGTCAGCCTTCAGCGAACAGCAGCCAGAACAGTCCTTGTCCAGGGCAATATCTCTGTCTTGAGCTGCGCCAATCAGCAGCCCCGCACGCTGTGGGCGCGCATTTCGCCTTGCTGTCAGAAAGACTGGGCTTTTCTCCGTGGCACTGGGTAAAAGCATCCTAGGCAATCCGTGCAACAATTTCAGTCCCAGCAACAATGATTGCAGCAATTTTGCCTGCATAGGGCTCCGCTGCAGCAGGTTGAGCTCTAAGTTGGATAAGCCCAAACCTTGACAAGGGATCGTCTGCAGCCCGCAATATATGTCACATGGTAGTCTGCCGGCACTTCGGCATTAAACAGCTTAAAGGAGGTCAATGGCAGTATCTTCCAGCTGACCATCTTATGTGGTTTTTCTTCCCCTCTAGCGGCAGTCGAACACAGCTGCAGGAAGGGTTCGCTTCGATGAATGCTCAGTTGTAGCACGTTGGCTACACAAGCATTGTTTGATGCGAGCTGTCAAGGAACAATTAAGTCAGCCAGTAAGCTCATGTGATCAGAGGGGAAGGAGGCGTTTGGAAGCCTTTCGGGGTAAACTGTTGCTAGCCCCTGTGCCTCAGGCACGTCTAGAACAGCCTGAGGCTGAACACCTTGGGACACAAAAATGTGGTCGCATGTGGCCTTGAAGTCGCCTGATGCCCAACCAGCCCACGTCGTGTAATTCGGGATCCGAAGGCCGTGCTGCAAGCCAACACTCGCGTAGACACATGTGTAGCCGCACGCTACAAAGTAATCGTAGACAGTTGTGACGTCTGATGCCCTTTTCTCCGACGTCTGAATGCTATTCACATCTGCCAAGATAATCTGCTCATCTCCCCGGGAGAAATCTTGCAAGGCTGTCACCAACTCAGATGCTTGCTGCATTCTGAAGCCGTCATCCGCAGATGCCCGCAAGTGCGCAACGCAAACGACGATGCCTTTGCCCGTCTGCCGATCTTTGGGCCATAAGCGTTGCAAAACGGCCACTTGTGCAGCTTTGGTGCGATGACGGCCATACCTGTACTTGCCATGGCTTGGCCGTATGCTTTTCAAAATGCAACATGCCTTCAAGGCGGCTCTGGCTACTCAAGGAAACTCAAGCTGTGCCAAGCTGCTCCAAGAATATTGCACGCCGCAAGCCCTCCTCGAACTTGTCTGCCCGCCAAAATGCCGCGACACCGTCTTTAGCTGGACTTCCTAGGGTGAAGCAAAAGTTGCGTTGCAAAACACTGCAGGGTGAGCTGTAACGTGATACAACTGACTGAGAAACCTGCGTTTGCGCTTGAAGGTTCCGTGGAAGCCAGCAGCGCCGAGCTCTGGCTCGAAGAAATCATCGAAGTGATCCACTTCGCACAAGCCCAAAATGTCGGCATCATACTGCAATAGCTCCTCGTCTCTTTTTCTGAGTCAGCGCCGCATAGGATGCTATGGGCACTCCACTGACGCAACAAACAAAAACGTGGAGCGGACCTGTTTCAGTTGGGCTCGGCGCCGCTCCCAGCGCAGTGTTTCACCGTCGCAGCGAAACCCACGCTGCAAGCTTAGCAAAGGCGAGCTTTTTGCCAGGCAATCAGCCAAGACGTTCCTGAGCCCCAATTTTGCAGCTGCCCCATACAGAGTCTATTCATAATTGAGGGCAAAGACTTAGCAAGAATCAAAAAGGACTGCAATCTTCACGTATGGTTCCAGTGCAGAACTCGGATGCTGCGGCCTTTCAAGGCACTCGTTGCCTGAATCCAGTGCCGCGGGGGAAGCACCGGTGCCATGCAGGCAAGCGTAGGACGGAACATGATGCGGTCAGTCCAAGGTGCAGTCTGCCTCATCATGCTTGCATGCGCTTGCTTTCCCTGTGGGGTGTTAATTCTGTCTGGCCCCCTATGATTGCGTGCTGAAACGGCTTCCGCGAAATTTTGGAGCCATGCAAAGACATGGCTTCTTTGCTGCCTCTCTCCTCTTCTCCTTCTCACTGCTATACCCCCACACGGCCAGTGCACAGCCGCTGCCTCTGTTTTGCATTGCTTTGCTTTGCTTACCGGGGGTGGTGGGAGGTTCCCACTGGCCCTAAGGCCGACCGGTTCGTCACGGTCATGTGTGATTTTGGTGTGAGACAGTGCCGGTTCTGAGCCAGAATCAGAGTGTGTTGGTGTAGAGAATGGCAAACGAAACACAAACCAAGTTGGTGACGGACGGTGTTACTAGCTCGCTTCAGCACTACGCTGCCTTCTTCTTCTTCTTCTTCTCACTGTGCTACCCCCTCCTAGTGGAGGAGGCTGGGGCAGTGCCCCACACAGGATGCGGTCGCTGCGACGCAGCGCTGAGCTGGGACCCGATTAGCGAACATGCATAGTGCCTCTTCTTCTCTCTCTCTACCTTGCCGTCAGAACTTGCTGCGGATTTTTGGGGAACACATTCTGGCTCTGTGCCCCGCGTGCCACACTTACTTCTCTTGTCTTACTTGCCCTGTTCGCATGGGGGCAGGCTGCTACTACTGCTGATATCACCACCACCACCACCACC